TAAAATTTGTCTAATAACTTACACAGTTTGCCTTTATGGTTAAATTATCTGGCACTAAAAAATGCTTCTTAAAACCATTATCAAATTATTCTGGTCTTTTACCTGTTTAGATACAGAAAAAAAGGAACATTTAAACAAGAATGAATTAGCTAAAAAGCAATTAGTTTGTAGGACAAACTTTATTATGCTATTTCTAATTTTGAAAGCAACTCGCAAAAGATAGCTATACACTACGCATTACAAGAACATAATTACAAAACTATTATCTATCACAAAAACAACTATTTACAACTATACCAAATTATTAAAAGCCTGATAACCAAATACGGCTATAAAGTTTGGTGTTACGGTAATTCTACTGTAAAACCATTTAAAATAACTTTCTCTGCAATCAAATTTTAAACGACCACTAATACGGCTATATTTTTAACGTTTTACAACTTCGAATAGTACAGTTTACTATAAACTGACGAGCTATACCTTGATATCACGTGCAAATTTCGACGAAAGCCGAATGTTAACTATTTTTATAATTTCTGGTTATGTGTGATGTGTATAACCGACCACAGGCAAGTTCGAGCTTGTCAAATCTTCATATGAACAATGAGAACACTAGCATCGGATTTCATTGTACACAACTGCAGTTCTTAATTGATCTGGCTTCGTTTCATCTTGCATTTATTGTTCATGCTAACAGTCGCCCATGACCTTTTGCTAATGTCAATCTTACACATATTTTTTTTGGGGTGGCAAAACTTCAGCAACTGCATTGCGCCTGGCTTTATTCATGTCCGGAAGATATTTCCACGTGGAAACGCCCATTGTAAAACACTCCACTGAATTAAGCGTCTCACGTTTCTCATTCACACCTCCCATGACGACAATTGTGTTTCCAGAAATAACTGCACAACATCCCCATCTCTTCTCCAACATGGATGGTAAGACTGTGATCTTGCTCGTCTTGCAGTCATACATGAAAACATCATTCAGAACTTTGTCGTCCTCGTCACGACCTCCAATAACAACTACTTGATCTCTCCAGGGAACTGTTGCCATTTCCATCAACAGACGAGGTAATGGTGGCAGCACTTTACACTTATTCTGCTTTGGATCAAACTCTAAAACACCGTCCATAGAATGAAGATCATTCTCTTGCCCACCTAAAATCAATATTTTATTTCCAACTACCTCAGCGCGATGACAATCTCGTGGCTCAGGCATTTGACACAACTCCTTCATAGTGCAAGGTGAGGTAAGTTCCAATTCACTAATCACGTTGGATCTTCGGTTTTTGTTATAATCATAACCACCAATGTGAAAGACACGCTGTTGGTAAACAACAGTTTGACCACAGCCATAAAAAAGCTTTCCAGGAAATATCATCCATACCAATGGAAATTCATTGAGATCCAAGTGCGCGATTGTACTACAGGGATATCCCCCAATAATGAACACCTGATCATCATAAATGAAAGATGAAGCCCCTACATGCTTCTCATGCATTGATGACATCTTAAACCAGCCATTTTTCTCCCAGGAAAATATTTCAGCAGTTTTTCCAGTCTTATTGGAAGTCCCGCCGCCCCCTGCAATCAAAATGTCCTCTCTTGGTGTGTTCAACATTTCCTCAATCGGAGATGTCGGTTTCCTCGACACTTCAAGAATATTAAACCTCTCTAAGATTTGACTCATCATGACTTTCACTTCTTGCACGTCTTTGTTCACTTTGCAAAGATTTTCTTTTACATCTTTGACTTCCTTCTTAACTTCTGCGACTTCGTTCATTGTTTTTGCCCTTGATGCTTCCACTTTCGCATTAAATTCCTCTATTAATTTTCCATTCGCTGCTTCCACTTTTTGATCTAACTCCACCTGACTACTTTGCACCTTTCCACCAACTGCTTCCACTTTTCGATCAAGTTCAACCAAACTTTCACTCAAAGTTCCCACATCTTCTCGTATCTGTCCACAGTCATGACATTTCACCGTCCTATATTCACACTCTACAGTCTCATGACGAACCTTGTCTTTCTTGTTAATCTTCGCACCACAATTTTCGTTTGAACATGACACAGGAGCAAAGCCGCAATTCGCAACATGAGTTTTGAGATCTTCAACACAGACAAACTCTGGACAACCACGACTGGCGTGATCACAATTAATCTTCAGCTTTGATAAATAATTATTCAATACCCGCGGTCGACGAAGCGTGTCGACACTCAAATCTTCACTACATTCAGGACAAGTTTGAGAGTTAACATTCAAATGTTCAGTGATACAGTCGAGACAAAACATATGTTCATTATTTCTACAAGACCTTGGTTCCTTAAGGACATTGTAACAGATTGAACAATGAAAATGTTCGTCAACATCTTTCTCAAACCTGCTGTCGTCGAAGCCATATTTCACTTCTGTTGGACAACAAGCCATTCTTTAAAGCTGACGATAGATTGCTGGACTTTACATTGTTAGAACAGCTAAACAAATAAATGAATTATCTTACATAATGAAGAAGATAACTTGAAAGCAGATAACAGGCGATGTTTTGAAACCCTTCCACTTTCGATTCGCTCACAAACAAGCGAGAAAAAAACAACATTCCAGGAATACATGAAGTATTCCGCACCTTGTGTACTCAACTTCCAGTTCCGCAATTTTTTTGTCAAAACAGATAACTACTTCCGCAGACTACTCGTACGGCTAAAGTTAAAAACGAACAGGTTGCTGCATTATTGACATGAACAGGATTGAAATATGCCGTTGTGCTTTCCAACATCGTATCATAACGGATTATGTTTCAACAATATCGCTCAATGTCATTGACTTGTGTAAACACTAAAGAAGGCACAATATTGTTCGATGTTATTAAAATATAATCTTTTCCGTGTATTTTTAGTTATCAATAGAAACGAAGTCGTCATAAACGTCATGTCATATACGAGATCAAATGACACACATGACCAAAACATGACTTGATATGTTTGACTTGTAGCGAAACGTTTTTCTTTGTTTTAAAGTCATTATTTCTAGCCGAGTGGCGAGGAAATACACTACGCTTCGCTACATTAAAGTTGAAGTTGAAAAAACAGGCTTTACTTTACTTAGCCAAAGTGAATACATAATCTCGAGAATCGTTGATCTCGGTAAGAGGTCATGATTAACTGGATTAACCCACTGATCTCGGATAACCTGAATAGACCGGGTTAGATTGAGTGGATCGGACTGGATTGATCCACGGATTTCAGATAGACAGATTAGATTTATTATTTCTATCGTGTTGATGCTCATTAAATATCGTCACTATCAATTGATAATTATTAAATAAGATGTTTGCGGCGAACTTTAAGAAGATGATTATTTACAACTGATGTGTATGAAATTACTTTATATAATAACTATAGTGAAACACGCAATGTGATTGGTCAATAGCCGTGCAGGATCAGACAATCCTGCACGCGTTTTAGACAATCCTGCACGCGAAATTTAATTTTAATAAAGTTAACCGTTGTTTCACTACAGTTATTTTATAAAACAATTACCAAATGATTTTCCGTGCAGGATTGCGTGATCCATGCACGCGGGATGTTGCTCGACTTTCGGAAAGCGTGAAAATACACTCGCCTACGGCTCGTGTATTTTCACGCTTTCCGAAAGTCTCGCAACATCCCGCGTGCATGGATCACGCAATCCTGCACGGAAAATCATTTGGTATTCCTTTAATCTAAATGCGATGGGGATTGTTGAATCCTCGTACCCAGGAAACCACCCCAAGCACTACTGCGCGCTTTCTTTTTTCAGCTGACCTATATATAAGACCTGAATGCAACGTTATATATTTTACTATTAAAGCGCCTGGGTACGAGGCTGGGATTGTTGTATATCCGACATCGTGAATTTATGTTGAAATAATTTGAAAGAGAAAATTGTTCGATGATCTTGGACCAAGACCTTGGGTTTCTTGAGCGAAGTCTTGGGTGAATTAATATGATATGCATTTACACGCTAATCGCATTAAAATATTTCCCTGTAAGTTTAACTAAGAATGTCAATCCGAATTGGGTACCAGTGCTAGTCTCTTTCTATTGTTTTTGCCAGCGCGATCGTCGACCGTGAAGGTAAAAACAATAGAAAGGGACTGGTACTAGTGCCTAATTCGGCTTCAAATTGGTTTTGAAGATGGCGAACGAGTTACCTTTCCAATTCATATAGAGTTCACTGGTTTTACCCAAATCACAACCCAAGGCAAAGCCAATCACTTGTAAGCAAGCTGTTCATAACTTCCCTACACTGACTAAGCCCTAATCTCACTATACTTATCCGCACGAAGGTTTCATCACAAGGGTATATCACTGGTTAACATCATCGTTTGATTGAGATGAGATATCGTGACAACACTTGGCCCTTGTTCCCAGGGCTCGCCGTCAATCTGCATGGGTAACTTCCGTTTTTCTTTCACAGTTATCTACATTAAAAAATATTGGCGCGTAATAAATATGATGACTTGTTTATATTGACTCGTTACATATTGGAATTCTCCGACCGGAGAATTTTTAGGCAAATTATAATAAAGGTAACAGAGATTATATGTTTGGTTATGGTTGATGCAGCATCGTACCCAAAAGCCATATTGAGAAACGTCAAGGTTGCATCCAGCTACTTTATAGAGATCAGTGACTGGGTTTTGTCTTTGTAAAACAACTTAGGTTGCATGTAATCTCGGAGTTCCTGTAATCAAACTTCAAATGAATGGGTACGTGATATTATACCTTCACTTCATGGGCTTGTCCAAGTAATAATGGATCAGCCAGGTTGACATGCATTCTGGCGATATGAAAGGACGAGTAGAGACCACAGACTTCAAGTTTACCATCGCTAAAACTGGATACGAATATTCTTGCGTAAAAATAATGCATAAATACACCATTGATCGATGCTGAATGAAAATTTATAAGTACGCATGCTTAAAATATTTACCGTATTGAAAGATGGATGGTAAAACGCTACCTTACGGGGGGAAAATCGTCTTCATCATTACCAGAAATCATTTTGACACCAGCGCACCAGCTGTTAATATTCAAAACAACTATTCCTTCCAGTTCAGGCAGTTCAACCACCTTGCCATCCATTTCCAGCTGAACAGAGAAAGTGAAACTCAATGAGGCTATATATAACTATTAAATTCGAGTCCTTGAAATGATATTAGAAGCAGTGATAATAACCATGAAAAGTGTATTACATACAGGTAGTTCAGTGTTAATAACAGCAAAAAAAGATAAGAAAAAAGTTACCACAGCAACAACACCAATAAAAAACAACAACAAAAACAGCAAAAACAAGAGCAGTAGTCGAAACACAGCATACCTGAATCTTTTCTTGCAAATTTTTACAATTAGCTTCTAAAACTTCGTTTACTCCGTAACTAAAGTAAATTGCCTTTAGCGAAAAACATTCAAAACTTAATAATAACACGCCGAGTTTCCATAAAACAAACGAACAAAATGAATAACGAATTCAGTCATTTCGCAGAAATACAAAAGAATACACTTTATTGTACAAAATAACGCTCACAGTATTTTTTGATAATTTTCATAATTTTCTTACCTTGTTAAACAAACGGCTGCTAAAAAGCGATGGTTGTTGTTCACGATGTTTGTGAAATTTTAAGACGACCGTAGCATCGCATCCAACGGAAAAATAACTATTCATTTTAAACACCTGAAATGTAAGGTCACAAACATACAGTTCACTGTACAACCACTCTGATCTGATTTGCGGGCAAATATACAATCACCAGAGATTGATTGCGAGATTGTTATCATGTGTGAGTAGAACTATATTTAGTGATAGCTTGGGTTTGTAAAGGTAAATCAAGGACGGTAATCGATGATTTTCTCAAAAATAAAATGAAAATTAAAAATTGCATCGCCAATATACAAGAATAACTCAAGACACTGGTAAAATCTCTCATATAATATAAGTCTGCTTCGAATAACAACGAACACCGGAAAGCGCGCGAAAGCGCCGGAAGTGAGTCTAACATGCAATACTACTTCATGTAACATGCCACAAAGGCGTGGCGTGGTTTCTTTCTTTTATCTTCTTTATGCTAATGTTAATAATGTAAATATAACTGGAACAGTAACGTTAACAATGTTCATACCCAAAGTATGTAGGAGGGTTTCTTTTACGGGAGGGTCTCATGGGCAAACTCGGTGGACTTGCTTGCAAAACGCCGGGGACCCCTGGTGGACTGGGAGGTACGGGTTCGGCAGGACCTGTGTCCTCATCATCGCTATCATCGGACTCTGTGAAACGTTTGGGAGGAGGTTGGTCGACCCCATCGGACACACGGAAACATTCATCGATTCGAACCTTATACGAGGCTGCGCGCAGCTGTGTGTCGGTGAATTTTTGAACAAAACACCAGGGGAGCTTGATTGATACCACAATATATCGGTTGCGAGCTTTGGTTTTGTCTCTATCGGTGGACAGGTAAACGAGATCGCCAACTTGTATGCTTTGTGACTTGCGACGTGTGTGGGCATTTCTTGAGCCTTTGGACTGTTCACTATAGGGATGGTTCTTAATACGATCGTGGTGTTGCTTCGCGATAACCTCCGTGTCTTTAATTGGAATTTGAGCATTCGAGAACTGATCTCTGTGAGTCCAGAGCTCATGTGCAGATACACCGTTCCGGCGGAGACGGGAATTTAGTCTGGAAATCACAAGGGCAAGCTCAACTGGGGTGACTGGGCTTCCGTCTGGGTTTCGGCGACGTAGTTCTTCTTCGAGTTCCGCAATGGCTTTTTCGGCGACGGGGTTTTTGTTAACATTTTTAATTCTGCCAATCTCTAACGTGACACCTATTTGTTTCAGAGTCAAGTCATTCTGTAATCCGATGAAACCGGGAGCGGGATCAACCCGGACAGTAGCGGGTGGTCCGTCAGGTGAACGGAGAGCAGCAACTAAGGTGGATAAACTGTCCCGAAGTGTCGTGCTCTTCTCATTGGGAATGATGGTGGCTGACGTAAACGACGTTGTAGTTTCCCGTAGTACAAGAATATTTTGTCTGCTTCTACGTAGCACATCTGCCGCAAATGAAACTCCGACCACGCTGGGTGGGTCACTGGTGGTGTGTTGTAAAAGTGGTTGTGGGAGATGTCGGAGTGAGGCGCAAGTGTGACATGTATTGGAGATGCGTTCGATAGCTTTTGTCAAATCGAGAGCATAGAAGTGTCGCTTCATGGCAAGACTGAGTTGGTGGGGAGTAGGATGGTCGAATCGCAGATGGAGAGCAGTTACGAGTCCGTCAAGGGCACTTCTCGGACAATGATTAATTCAGTGCTTGGGGATAAGGGATCTGTGTGGGGCACAACGAGGAGGCCGTCTTTGGCGATGGAAGCAACGTTTAAATACTTCTTGACATCTTTGATGTTTGTAGTCTTCTTTGAGGGACGTGTTCCTTGCTTTAAGTGGGCATGTGTCCGACGAAGATCAGGACACTCGGCTTGAATTGTGCTCCAGGCAGATCTGGTAGTAAAAGGAAGATGGGACAAGTCCCGTATGTCTTGAACCGAGGTGGAGCGAATGACAGAATCTTCAGTAACAGCGATGAAGGTACAAACTTGACAACGCGGCTCAGTGCACTCAGCAGCGTTACGGCTGGAGAAATCGGAGGGGATGTTAGCTGATCCTGCAAGGTGTTGGACACTGACTGCATATCGACTGACAATAGAGAGAAAAGATGTTACACGGGGGCTTGCGGAAAACTCTCCACGGCATAGTTTCTCGATTGCCTGTACACATGGTTTGCTGTCCGTTAATAAACAGGTTTGCTGGGTCGACTGGATTATATAGGGACTGAAATGCTTGATGGCAGTGGCGATGCTAAGTGCCTCTACTTCACATGGCAACCAGGTAACCTGGTGTTTTCGAAGCTTAGCACTGAAGAAACCTGCGAGGTGGATCTTGTTGTCACGGTTGATGTACAAGGTGGCGCCAATACCGTATTTACTGACGGATCCATCTGTGACAATCCACAGCTGGTCTGATGGCCGGGGCAGAGTGATCGACTTGTGTTCAGCAAGAGACTTTTGGGCAAGATGGAACTGCTCCAACAATGTGTCCGTCCATTTTATCTTGGTGCAGGATTCCTGACCTGCACTGACCTGTTCCAGTGGTGCGAGAAGTTGAGAACACCTTGGTAGCACACGACTGAGGGCTTTATAAGCTCCAAGAAATGATCGAAGGCTGCGCACTGTCTCTGGTGGGGGGCAGGAAGATAATGTAGCAATACGATGTGGGCTTGCTGTTAAGGAACCTTGGGTCCATATCCATCCAAGAACAGTAGTGGAGCGAGGACAAATGATGGTTTTAGATGGAGAAAGGTGTAGGTTACACTTCGCAAGGGAATCCAGGATACGTTGCCAGTTCTGAAGAAGTTCCTCGGGTGTGTCTGCTCCGCAATACAGGTCATCAGCCAATTTTGTGGCTATCCCGTCCTGTAGACAATCACCCAGGACTCGGCACATCAACTCTTCTAAGGCAGTCTCTGAGCCAGGCATGCCCATGGCACAGCGGGTGTATGCTCGGATGCCTCGGAATGGTGTGGCTACCCCACAATACTTGATCGATTCTTTTGCTAATGGGATCTGGTAAAATGCACTAGTTAAATCAGTGACGATTAGGTACTTCCATTGAGCAATAGTGCGTAAGGTGGTATCGACATCTGGCATGAGCGATGGTTGAGGCTTGCTGTACCTGGCAACATCAGCAAAGGCTGTGACCAACCTATGACCTCCAGAAGGTTTAGCGACCAAGAACGATGGATTGAGGTATTCTATTGTGACGCCAATGTCCTCTGGGCGTTTGAATACTCCTTGGCGTTCAAGCTCGTCGAATTTATCTTGGAGTTCAAGAAGCTTGTTTCGAGAGTATTGGGGTAATCGACCCTTTCGTTGAGGGGGTTGGACTGGACCCATGTTGACAGTAGCTTGAAAGGGCCAACAGCTCCATTGTATCCGGTGAGGGCGGGGTCGAATACGGTATCATACTTCTGTAGGGCTTTTTTGAACTCGGTACGAATGTGGACAGGTAAAATATTGTCAGGATCCAATTGAACAGTGGAAGAGTGGGCAGCTACAGTAGGTGTTGTAGGGACAACATTGGAGGGAACTGACTGTGTGGTAGGTGTCTCTGGTGTTTGGGTGTGAAGTACCTGGCAGAAATGCTCATTCCGAGCAATTTGTTGTGGCTTGTTGGTGGCATTCAGGATACGCACCTGACCAGCTACAGCTTGGACAATGTGTGGAGGGGGCCAGTCACGACACCTCTTGGAACAATCGGGACGAGGTTCGATTGCAAGGGTGGCATCAGGTTGGATATCAGTTGGTAAGTCTACCTCTAGGTAGTCTCCTGGCCAAACAACTGTTAATGTTGGTGGGGCACGTAAAACTTGGGCATGGGTTCTCCTGATGTGATTTGGGGAGGCCTCTGGTGCATCATCACCGTAATAAGAAACATGAGCTCCCTGAATGGATATTTGCTGTTTGGCAGGTCGAACAGAAATGTCGTTGACTGACATGAATGGTGTTCCTGCCAATATGTCAACGTCAAGTTCGTCTACTACAAGAGCATCAAGCAGGAGGTTTACATGGTTGTGGTGTAAGGTAAGGTGGACCTCTCCAATGACTGTTAGGGGGGTAATGCCATCGGCCTGTAGGGCAGACTGTCTTGTCTTGCATATTGTTGCCCCAATTTTCTTGATAACAGATGTTTTGATCATGCTTGTCTCCGCTCCGGTGTCGAGGGTAAGCTGTAATGCATGGTGTTGGTAGAACACGTTTAGTTGAGGAGATCGTTTGGTGCGGACACGTCGGCCGGTAGATGTTACTCGGTGGCTGTGGGTTGCAGGCTTGGGTAAGACAGGCTCTTCTGGCTCAGAATCAGAGGAGGCTATGTTTGGGTTGTCTGCCATTACTTGTCGAGCGCGAGTTAAATACTGGCGATCTTCTGCCGGAAGGAAAGGGCATCGACTGAGGTAATGGTGGGACTGTGCTCGATTTGCTTGTTTACATAGGGGGCATGACTTAGCTCTTGAGGTCATACCTTTAGGCTTTGAGGCTGTTAAGGACTGTGCGTTTGCAGTACGGGGTTTGGGGGTTGGCGAAATGCAGTACGTAACACCTTGGCTTCATTGGTGGTATGTATTTCATCAAGTAAAGAGTCGAGGGCTTGCGATATCTCCGGTTTCAAACTGGCTAATGTTTGGGATCGAAGCTCTGTGCCATAGCGCTGTTTGACTAGCACAGGTAGGTCAGGGTGTACTAAACGTAACCATGTAATTACAATAAAATTTTCCAGGGTGGGTGTGACTTCCTCATCAGTAGTGGTATCTTCACCATGGTGACGGATAGTGTCACTTGCTTTAAGTAAGTTATCTTCAATAAAACTTACCAGTCGTTGGTAAAGATCCTCAGGACGCTCTCCGGCTTCCAGGTGTATATTGCTGACATCGAGGAAACGTGCGCCTGTTGATTGAAAACCAAAGTGGGCGCGAATGGCTTGCCAAATAGACTGCGTGGACGTGGAATTTTTAACGATAGTATTACGGGATATAACTGGACAAAAGTTAGCGATTTGCCCCAACATCAGCTCTAGATGCGTTACCTTTTGGGCAGCTGTACGACGACTGGCTTGTGGTACGTCTTCGCCGTCGTCAGTGAATCCTCGAGTTGGGTTAGTGCTGGATTTACGCTGCCATGTTGATTCTTCGAGCAGAAAATTGGCAAAATTCGAGTCGAGTGACAAAATATATTGAAGGTTCTGACGCCACGATTCGAATGAGGTAATGGTTTCTTGTTTGGTTAAGGCCCACTGTTTAGGTGCTCGATTGCTTGCCATTCTAGCAGACGAGAAATTAACTTTTCACAGTCTATATAAGCTGGCGTGTCTTTACTAATCTTGAGTAGGAGTACTCTTGTTGGTCTGATATTATGAAGTTTCGCTTCGTCGAAATTTCTTTTATTAATAATAAGATAAGCCGTAGAACGCTGCCACCACGCCAATATACAAGAATAACTCAAGACACTGGTAAAATCTCTCATATAATATAAGTCTGCTTCGAATAACAACGAACACCGGAAAGCGCGCGAAAGCGCCGGAAGTGAGTCTAACATGCAATACTACTTCATGTAACATGCCACAAAGGCGTGGCGCATGCGAAATAATAGCTCAGGCACATTTTGCCTCTGTGGTGAAATTATCTGCATGGGCCTTCTTAAAACCATCATAAATAAAGGAACATTTAAACAAAAAATTATTATGCTATTTCTGGTTTTAAAAGCAATTCACCATTTACAAAACATATTGTTATGTAACAAATTCATAATTAAACAAATTGTACACCACGGTAGTTCTTCATCTGGCTTCGTTTCATCTTGCATTTATTGTTCATGCTAACAGTCCAATGACCTTTTGCTAATGTTAATCCTACACATATTTTCTTTTGGGTGACAAAACTTCAGCAACCGCACGGCTCTTGGCGTTATTCATGTCCGGAAGATACTTCCATGCGGAATCTCCCATTGTAAAACACTCCACTGAGTTAAGCTCGTCACCTCTCTTATTCCAACCTCCCATGACGACAATTGTGTTTCCAGTAATAACCGCACAACATCCCAATCTCTTTTCAAGCATGGATGGTAAGACTGTGATCTTGCCCGTCTTGCAGTCATACATGAAAACATCATTCAGAACTTCGGATTCCTCGTCACGACCTCCAATAACAACTACTTGATCTCCCCAGGGAACAGTTGCTATTTTAGTCAACGGACGAGGTAATGGTGGCATCTTTCTACACTTATTCTTCTTTGGATCAAACTCTAAAACACTGTCCATAAAATGAAAAGGATTCGCTTGCCCACCTAAAATCAATATTTTATCTCCAACTACCTCAGCGCGATGACATTCTCGTGGCTCAGGCATTTGGCACAACTCCTTCATAGTGCAAGGCGAGGTAAGTTTCAATTCACTTATCACGTTGGAACTCCGGTGTTTGTTATAATCATAACCACCAATGTGAAAGACACGCTGTTGGTAAACAACAGTTTGATGACTATCACAGCCATAAGGAAGCTTTCCCGGAAATATCGTCCATTCCAGTGGAAATTCATTGACATCCAAGGTCTCAATTGTACTACAGTCATATCCCCCAACAATAAACACCCGATCATCATAAATGAAAGATGAAGCTCCTACATGATCCTCATGCATTGATGACATCTCAAACCAGCCATTTTTCTCCCAAGAAAATATTTCCGTAGTTTTTCTAGTCTTATCGGAAGTCCCTATGCCCCCTGCAATCAAAATGTCATGTCTTGGTGTGTTCAACATTCCCTCAGTCGGAGATGTCGGTTTGTTCGACACTTCAAGAATATTAAACTTCTCTAAGATTTGACTCATCATAATTTTCACTTCTTGCACGTCTTTGTTTACTTTGCAAAGATTTTCTTTCACATCTTTGACTTCCTTGTTAACTTCTGCGACTTCGTTCATTGTTTTTGCCCCGGATGCTTCCATTTTCGCATTAAATTCCTCTATTAATTTTCCATTCGCTGCTTCCACTTTTTGATCAAGTTCAACCAAACTTTCCCTCAAAGTTCCCACATCCTCTCGTATCTGTCCACAGTCATGACATTTCACCGTCCTATATTCACACTCTACAGTCTCATGACGAACCTTGTCTTTCTTGTTAATCTTCGCACCACAATTTTCGTTCGAACACGACACAGGAGCAAAGCCGCAATTCGCAACATGAGTTTTGAGATCTTCAACACACACAAACTCTGGACAACCACGACTGGCGTGATCACAATTAATCTTCAGCTTTGATAAATAATTATTCAATACCCGCGGTCGACGAAGCGTGTCGACACTCAAATCTTCATTACATTCAGGACAAGTTTGAGAATTAACATTCAAATGTTCAGTGATACAGTCGAGACAAAACATATGTTCATTATTTCTACAAGACCTTGGTTCCTTAAGGACATTGTAGCAGATTGAACAATGAAAATGCTCGTCAATATCTCTCTCAAACCTGCTGTCTTCGTAGCCATATTTCACTTCTGTTGGACAACAAGCCATTCTTTAAAACTCACAGTACATTCTTGGCCTTACATTGTGAAAATAAATTATCACTCATATGATTTATCTTACATTTTAGCGAAGAAAATTGAGTAAATTGGCAGACAAATTTAAACCATCCTACTTTCGCTTTGAGATGATACTAAATGAAGCACTTCCGGCTTTTCAAAATTTCGCAAGGCGCAAACAACTACTTCATGTAGTTTACTATTACATATCACAGGTTGTTATTACATATCACAAGTTTTTTTATTCGATGCTACGACGGATTAACTTGAAGTTCTTTCCCTAAATCTTGGATTTCATAGAATTGAATTTTCCATAATGCCATTTATAATGGGGATTAATGGCAAAAATGACTGGATTCGAAGTAAAAACAATCAATTTTGAATTTAAATCCGTTATCAAATTGTTCTGGTTTTTTATCTGTTTAGATACAGAAATAAAGGAACATTTTAAAGAAAAATTTGCTAAAAAGCAATTACTTTATACGACAAACTTTATTATGCTATTTCTAATTTTGAAAGCGATTCACAAAAGATAGCTATACACTACGCATTACAACAACATAATTACAAAACTAATGTTTATCAAAAAAACCCAACAATATTACCGAATTATTAAAAGGCTGATAACAAAATACAGCTATAAAGTTTGGTTTTCTTTGCAACCAGCAATCTGGGCAAATTTTAAACGACAACTAATACGACTATATTTTTAACGTTTTAAAACTTCGAATAGTACAATTTACTATAAACTGACAGCTATACCTTGATATCACATGCAAATTTCGAAGAAAGCCGAATGTTAAATTTGTTAATTATTTCTGTAATTCCTGGCTGTATGTATAACGAACCACAGGCAAGTTCGAGTTTGTCAAATCTTCCTATGAACAATGAGAACAAGCACCACGGATTTAATCAAAATTTGACTTAATCAATATTTCTTCATTGTACACACGGTAGTTCTTAATCTGGCTTCGTTTCATCTTGTATTTATTGTTTATGCTAACAGTCGCCAATGACCTTTTGCTAATGTCAATCCTACACATATTTTCTTTGGGGTGGCAAAGCTACAGCAACTGCACGGCTCCTGGCGTTATTCATGTTCGGAAGATATTTCCATGTGGAATCTCCCATTGTAAAACACTCCACTGATTCTAGCTTTGTACTTTTCCAGCTCAAGCCTCCCATGACGACAATTGTATTTCCAGTAATAACTGCACAACATCCTTCTCTCTTCTCCAACATGGATGGTAAGGCTGTGATCTTGCCCGTCTTGCAGTCATACATGAAAACATCATTCAGAATTTTGCCCTTGTTATAGCCTCCAATTACAACTACTTGATCTCTCCAGGGGACTGTTGTCGTTTTCGCTAACGGATGAGGTAATGGCGGCATCTTTCTACACTTATTCTTCTTTGGGTCAAACTTTAACACACTGTCCAAAGAATTAAAATCATTCTCTCGCCCACCTAAAATGAATATTTTATCTCCAACTACCTCAGCGCGATGACATTCTCGTGGCTCAGGCATTTGGCACAACTCTTTCATAGTGCAAGTTGGGGTAAGTTCCATTTCACTAATCACGTGGGATTGTCGATGTTTGCTATAATCATAACCACCGATGTGGAAGACACGCTGTTGGTAAACAACAGTTTGATGATCATCACACTTAAAAGTAAGTTTTCCAGGAAATATCGTCCATTCCAGTGGAAACTCATCGAGATCCAAGGTCTCGATTGTATCACTTTTATCTCCCCCAACAATGAACACCTGATCATTATAAATGAAAGATGAAGCTCTTTTACGCTCCTCCTGCATTGATGACATCTCAAACCATCCATTCTTCTCCCAGGAAAATATTTCCGTAGATTTTCCAGTTTCATTGAAATGACCTTCCCCACCTGCAATCAAAATGTCTTCTCTTGGTGGATCCAATAACATTCCCTCAGTTGGAGATGGCGGTTTTTTGGACAGTTCAAGAATATTAAACCTTTCTAAGATTTGACTCATCATGACTTTCACTACTTGCACATCTTTGTTCACTTTGCAAAGATTTTCTTTCACATCATTCACTTCCTTCTTAACTTCTGCAACTTCGTTTATTGTTTTTGCCCTTGATGCTTCCATTTTCGCATTAAATTCTTCTAATTTTCCATCTGTTGCTTCCATTTTTCGATCGACTGCCTCCACTTTTCGTTCAAGGCCTACTAAACTTCCCTTCAAAGCTCCTACATCGTCTCGTACCTGTCCACAGTCATGACATTTCACCGTCCTATATTCACACTCTACAGTCTCATGACGAACCTTGTCTTTCTTGTTAATCTTCGCACCACAATTTTCGTTTGAACATGACACAGGAGCAAAGCCGCAATTCGCAACATGAGTTGTGAGATCTTCAACACAGACGAACTCTGGACAACCACGACTGGCGTGATCACATTTAATCTTCAGCTTTGATAAATAATTATTCAATACCCGCGGTCGACGAAGCGTGTCGACACTCAAATCTTCATTACATTCAGGACAAGTTTGAGAGTTAACATTCAAATGTTCAGTGATACAGTCAAGACAAAACATATGATCATTATTTCTACAAGACCTTGGTTCCTTGAGGACATTGTAACAGATTGAACAATGAAAATGATCGTCAACATCTCTCTCAAACCTGCTGTCGTCGTAGCCATATTTAACTTCTGTCGGGCAACAAGCCATTCTTTAAAGCTGACGATAGATTGCTGGACTTTACATTGTGAGAACACTTAAACAAATAAATGAATTATCTTACATAATGAAAAAGATAACTTGAAAGCAGAAAACAGGCGATGTTTTGAAACCCTTCACTTTCGATTCGCTTACAAACAAGCGAGAAAAAAAAAACATTCCAGGAATACATGAAATATTTCGCACCTTGTGTACTCAACTTCAAGTTCCGCAATTTTTTGTCAAAACAGACAACTACTTCCGCAGACTACATATACGGCTAAAATTAACTAGGGATCCAAGGATAGTGCAAAGTTTTCATGTCCTGCAATACCTAAGCAACCAGACGTTTGTCCCAACATAAACGTTTTGACTTATGCCAGTAAAAATAGAATGAACTAGGTTAAACATTAATCAAAAGGAAATTACTCAAAGTACTCAAATTACGTTAGCCGCGGATACTGTCACTATTAAATTATAATTTTAGTTGCCCATGTAAACCGGCCTAACCGGGCGCGATTTTCTCAGTGTAGTCTCTTTTCTTCGTCAAACAACTGTGACTACATTCACTACATTTATATGATGGCTACAATTTATCCGTCACTTCATAAGAATAGCCAAAATAGTTGCGTAGTAAATAATGTAAATAAACCGCAGTGCATATTATGTCGATGATGTCGATACTTCGACGCGTATAAATCAATACAAAACAATATACTTATAATCAATACTGTATACCGCCAAAATGATTTGAATACTGCACAAAATGTCCGTTTTGAATAATATCATTTTGTACTGTATGCAGAATATCAGGTATCGACTTGCTATCGACAATTTAATATACATGTGTAGGAGTCTATAAATACATAAACAACACAGCGTCGTTTCTTCCTAACCTCTTAGCTCTATTTATGGAATAAACCTTCCAAATTATATTTGTGTTGAATTGAATGCTCGTAATTCATAACATAAGTTGATAAATTGCGTAGCTTTTCAAAGAATTGCTCGATTTTTACGCCCGGAATGTTTCGAAGCAATGCTCGTCGCTCCTCGTCTCTTTACATCGTGAATAATGTTCAAGTCTCGACGGCACATGCGCAGTTGCGAGGTGTGAGAAAGAATCGGGTGTTCCGGGGGGTAATTCTGCGCAAATCCCTTAAAAACAAAACCCAAACCGCGGAAAAGCAATGCTTCAAAATTTACAGTAACCGCCAAAATTCCTCAATATTTTGGTGAACTTTGCAAAAGGGACATAGTACATTAATAAATAAAGCAAGTTAAACTGATTTAAAAACCTTAAATTACTGATCATATTCCAAAAGTTACTACACGCATAAATCAACCCCCGTAAAATTTACACTATGACTGACTGACTGTCTGACTGACTTACTGACTCGTTTGAATTTTCGCCACTCATCACAATACTGCAAAGTTTCTCAAACTTTGCACTAAAAACGAACAGGTTGCTGCATTATTGACATGAACAGGGTTGAAATATGCCGTTGTGCTTTCCCATATCGTATTACAACGGATTCTGTTTCAACAATATTGCTCAATGTCATTGACTTGTGTAAACATTAAAGACGGCACAATATTGTTCGATGTTATTAAAATATAATCTTTCCGTGTATTTTTAGTTATCAATAGGAACGAAGAGGATATACGTCATGTTATATACGAGATCAAATGACACACATGACCAAAACATGACTTGATATGTTCGACTTGTAGCGATACGTTTTTCTTTGTTTCAAAGTCATTATTTCTAGCAGAGTGGCGAAGAAATATACTACGCTTCACTACATTAAAGTTGAAGTTGAAAAAAAAAGCTTTACTTCGCCAAAGTGAATACATAATCTCGAGAATCATTGATTTCGCTCAGAGATCATGATTAACTGGATTAACCCACTGATCTCGGATAACCTGAATAGACCGGGTTAGATTAAACGGATCGGACTGGATCGATCCACGGATTTCAGATAGACAGATTAGATTTATTATTTCTATCGTGTTGATGTGATTAAATATCGTCACTATCAATTGATAATTATTAAATAAGATGTTTGCGGTGAGCTTTAAGACGATGATTATTTACAACTGATGGGTATGGGATTGTTGTACATCCGACATCGTGAAATTTTGTCGAAATAATTGGACCAAGACCTTGGCTTCCTTGAGCGAAGTCTTTGGGTGAATAATATGGCATGCACTTACACGCTAATCGCATTAAAATATTTCCCTGTAAGCTTAACTCAAAATTTGGAAATTTGGAATTGGACTGGTAACTCGTTCGCCATCCTCGAAACCAATTTGAAGCCGAATTGGGTACCAGTGCTAGTCCCTTTCTATTGTTTTTATCTTCACGGTCGACGATCACGCCGGCAAAAACAATAGAAAGAGACTAGCACTGGTACCCAATTCGGCTTCAAATTGGTTTCGAGGATAGCGAACGAGTTATCGTTCCAATTCATATAGAGTTCACTGGTTTTACCCAAATCACAACCCAAGGCAAAGCCAATCACTTGTAAGCAAGCTGTTCATAACTTCCCTACACTGACTGAGCCCTAATCTCACTATACTTATCCGCATGAAGGTTTCATCACAAGGGTATATCACTGGTTAACATCATCGTTTGATTGAGATGAGATATCGTGACAACACTTGGCCCTTGTTCCCAGGGCTCGCCGTCAATTTGCATGGGTAACTTCCGTTTTTCTTTCACAGTTATCTACATTAAAAAATATTGGCGCGTAATAAATACGACGACTTGTTCATATTGACTCGTTGCATATTGGAATTCCCCGACCGGGAAATTTTAGGCAAATTATAATAAAGCTAACAGACGATCATATATTCTGTTATGGTTGATCATACCCAAACGCCATATTGAAAAACGTCAAGGTTACATCCAGCTACTTTATAGAGATCAGTGGCTAGGTTTTGTCTTTGTAAAACAACTTAGGGTCGTAGGTTGATTTGGGTAGAATACGTGTTTAGGCTGAGGTTACATGTAATCTCGGAGTTTCTGTAATCAAACTTCAAATGAATGGGTACGTGATAATATACCTTCACTTCATGGGCTTGACCAAGTAATAATGGATCCGCCAGGTTGACATGCATTCTGGCGATATGAAAGGACGAGTAGAGACCACAGACTTCAAGTTTACCATCGCTAAAACTGGACACGAATAATCTTGTGTATTAAAAATAATGCACAAATACACCTTTGATCGATGGTGAATGGAAATTTAAAAGTACCCATGCTTGAAATATCGTATTTATTTATAATCTGAAAAGATACATGCCAAAACCCTACCTCACGGGGGGTAGGTCATCTTCATCATTACCAGAAATCATTTTGACACCAGCGCACCAGCTATTAATATTCAAAACAACTATTCCTTCCAATTCCGGCAGTTCAACCACCTTGCCATTTCCAGCTGAACATAAAAAGTGAAACTCAATGAGGCTATATAATTATAACTATTAAATAATAATAATCATAAAACTGTATTACAGACAGGTAGTTCAGTGTTAATAACAGCAAAAAAAACATTAAAAAAAACGGTAACCACAGCAACAACACCAATAAAAACAAACAACAAACAAAAACAGCAAAAACGAGAGCAGTAGTCGAAACACAGCATACCTGAATCTTTTCTTGCAAATTTTTACAATTAGCTTCTAAAACTTCATTTACTCCGTAACTAAAGTAAATTGCCTTAAACGAAAAACATTCAAAGTTTAATAATAACACGTTTCCATAAAACAAACGAACAAAATTAATAACGAATTCAGTCATTTCGCAGAAATACAAAAGAATACAGTTTATTGTACAAGATAACACTGACAGTATTTTTTGATAATTTTAATAATTTTCTCACCTTGTTAAACAAGCGGCTGCTAAAAAGCGACGGTTGTTGTTCCCGATGTTTGTGAAATTTTAAGACGACCGTAGCATCGCATCCAACGGAAAAATAACTATTCATTTTAAACACCTAAAATGTAAGGTCACAAACATACAATTCACTGTGCGATCGCTTTGATCTGATTTGCAAGCAAATGCACAATCACCAGAGATTGATTGCGAGATTGTTATCATGTGTGAGTAGAACTATATTTAGAGATAGCTTGGGCTCGTAAGGGTAAATCAAGGACAGATAATCGATGATTTTCTCAAAAATAAAATGAAAAATTGTATGCGTAATAATAGCTCAGCCACAGTTTGCCTTTGTGGTGAAATTATCTGGGCCTAACATATGCTTCTTAAAACTATCATCAAATTATTTTTTTTAATTATTTTTTTTATTTATTTTTTATTTATTTATATGCCCGAAACTATTTAGCTAACAATTTCTGTTAGAATACTTGTTCATTCTGATGTTTTTTTTGTTGTTGTTTGTTTGTTTGCTGTTTGTCAGACAATTTGCATGTTAAATTTGCATGTGAAAATGAGGTCAGATGACTTCGAAACGTCGTTCTTCAATAAATTTGTTATCGCTAACATATTTGTCTAAAATTATTTCTTTTACCTGGTTTAATACAGAAATAAAGGAACATTTAAACAAAAAATAGCTAAAAGCAATTAATTTGTAAGACGAAATTTATTATGCTATTTCTAGTTTTAAAAGCAATTCACCATTAACAAAACATATTGTTATGTAACAAATTCATAATTACACAAATTGTACACACGGTAGTTCTTCATCTGGCTTCGTTTCATCTTGTATTTATTGTTCATGCTAACAGTCGCCAATGACCTTTTGCTAATGGCAATCTTACACATATTTTCTTTGGCGTGGCAAAACTTCAGCAACTGCACTGCGCCTGGCTTTATTCATGTCCGGAAGATATTTCCATGTGGAATCTCCCATTGTAAAACACTCAACTGAATTAAGCGTCTCATGTTTCTCATTCACACCTCCCATGACGACAATTGTGTTTCCAGTAATAACTGCACAACATCCCCATCTCTTCTTCAACATGGATGGTAAGATTTTGGTCTTTCCCGTCTTGCAGTCATACATAAAAACATCATTCAGAACTTTGACTTTCTCATCATAACCTCCAATAACAACTACTTGATCTCTCCAGGGAACTGTTGCCATTTTCGCTAACGGACGAGGTAATGGTGGCATCTTTCTACACTTATTCTTCTTTGGATCAAACTCTATAACACTGTCCATAGAAGAAAAAATATTCGCTTGCCCACCTAAAATCAATATTTTATCGCCAACTACCTCAGCGCAATGGCAAACTCGTGGCTCAGGCATTTGGCACAACTCTTTCATAGTGCAAGGTGAGGTAAGTTCCAATTCACTAATCACGTTGGAATACCGGTGTTTGTTATAATCATAACCACCAATGTGAAAGACACACTGTTGGTAAACAACAGTTTGATGATTATTACAGTCATAAGGAAGCTTTCCAGGAAATATCGTCCATTCCAGTGGAAAATCATTGACATCCAAGGTCTTGATTGTACTACAGGGATATCCCCCAACAATGAACACCCGATCATCATAAATGAAAGATGAAGCCCCTATATGCTCCTCGTGCATTGATGACATCTTAAACCAGCCATTTTTCTCCCAGGAAAATATTTCTGTAGTTTTTATAGTCTTATCGGAAGTCTCTCCGCCCCCTGCAATCAAAATGCCCTCTCTTGGTGTGTTCAACATTCCCTCAGTCGGAGATGTCGGTTTCCTCGACAATTCAAGAATATTAAACCTCTCTAAGATTTGACTCATCATAACTTTCACTTCTTGCACATCTTTGTTCACTTTGGAAAGATTTTCTTTCACATCTTTGACTTCCTTCTTAACTTCTGCGACTTCGTTCATTGTTTTTGCCCTTGATGCTTCCATTTTCACATTAAATTCCTCTATTAATTTTCCATTCGCTGCTTCCACTTTTTGATCCAACTCCACCTGACAACTTTGCACCTTTCCACCAACTGCTTCCACTTTTCGATCCAACTTTACCTGACAACTTTGCACATTTCCACCAACTGCTTTCACTTTTCGATCAAGTTCAATCAAACTTTCCCTCAGCGCTCCCTCATCCTCTCGTATCTGTCCACAGTCATGACATTTCACCGTCCTATATTCACACTCTATAGTCTCATGACGAACCTTGTCTTTCTTGTTAATCTTCGCACCACAATTTTCGTTCGAACACGACACAGGAGCAAAGCCGCAATTCGCAACATGAGTTGTGAGATCTTCAACACAGACGAACTCTGGACAACCACGACTGGCGTGATCACAATTAATCTTCAGCTTTGATAAATAATTATTCAATACCCGCGGTCGACGAAGCGTGTCGACACTCAAATCTTCATTACATTCGGGACAAGTTTGACAGTTAACATTCAAATGTTCAGTGATACAGTCGAGACAAAACATATGTTCATTATTTCTACAAGACCTTGGTTCCTTGAGGACATTGAAACAGATTGAACAATGAAAATGTTCGTCAACATCTTTCTCAAACCTGCTGTCGTCGTAGCCATATTTCACTTCTGTTGGGCAACAAGCCATTCTTTACAACTCACAGTAGATTCTTCGCGTTACATTTTAAGAACAGATTACCAAATATCTTACACTATAACGAAGATAAATTCAAATCAAAAATGAGTCGAGCCTTATGAGTTCTTTGGTGATAGCGTTGTTGTTTCGTTTAACGATGTTTCGTTTTGCGATAACAAAAGCTTGATTATTCAAAATACTTGGAAGATGAAATCATGCGATTTAAAACGCTGGGACTGTCTTTGTACGAAAGCACTACCAAACTATAAAAACAGTTGAGCCGCATACCTCTGCCAGCAGGTCGCATTTTTAATCTAAACATGCATGATTAGATGACTTCCGGTGGTATAAATTTGCTTAATAATTCATTGCCTTAATAATTCATTCACGGCCTTGAATCAGCATTAAAAAAATTAAAACATTTAATCACTGCGCCCTAATATTCCTGCAAAAAATGCCGGCCAATTTTAAAAAAGAAAAAATTTATGCTTTAAAAAAATATAAAAAATATGAAAATATGAATGAAAATATGAAAAAACATAACTTTTGGAGTTTTGGTCGAATAATCTGGCCTAAAGAATGCATTTTAGAAGAACTATCGACCTCATTCTAATTCTATACTTGGTTGAAATTTAGCTCTCAGAAAATTGGCAGCCTAACCCTTTCCCCTCCTTCCCACTAGAAAAATTTGCATCCCCTAAAGTGGCGGATAGTCAAAAACAAAAATAAGATCATTCGAAAAATTGCAATTCTCCAAAATTTGCTACGATTTATTGTAAAAACTGAGGATAGGATATTAACGTATACAGACAAGTTCGATCTAATTAAATCTTCCTGAACGAAATCAGGACCACACCTTAAGGCCCGTTTACACTTGCAATTTTTGCTGCTCGAATTTCTTCTTTTGACAGATGTGAACGAGTGAATTAGTTACTGATTTTCAAATAAGAACTTTTATACACGAGAGCATTCGTAACTAATTACTCGTTCACATCTACCAAAAGAAGAAAATCGCAGCAATAATCGCTGGAAAGTTACACTTTTTCTGCAGGAAAGATAACTGCAGCTTTCCATCTGACTTCATTTCTTTCTGCCTTAATCATTGTTCATGTTAATAATCTTACACGACGTCTTACTAATGTCAATACTACAGGTATTTTCTTTGAGGTGGTAAAACTGCTGCAACAGCGTTTCGCCTGGCTTTATTCATTGCAGGAAGATATTTCCATGTGGGATCTCCCATCGTAAAACACTCCGCCGAATTCAGGGCTTTTCGTTTCTCGTTAACGCCTCCCACCACAAAAATCATGTTCCCAGTAATGACTGCACAGCTAATATATCTCTTCTCCAACATGGATGGTAAGACTGTGATGTTGCCCGTCTTGCAGTCATACATAAAAACATCATTCAGAACTTACCCTTTTTCGTCACAACCTCCAATAACAACTACTTGATCTCTCCACGGAACCGTTGCCATTTTCGTCAGCGGACGATGTAATGGTGGCTTCTTTCCACACTTATTCTTCTTCGGGTCATACTCTAACACACTGTCGAAAGCACCAACGCTATCATTTTCCCCACCAAAAATCTGCAGCTTGTCTTCAACCAGCTCAGCGCGGTGACACTGTCGCGGCTGAGGCATTTTGCACAGCTTTTTGATACAACAGGGTGAGATAATTGAGGATTCGCTGATCACACTCAAGCATTTCTTCTCGTCACGATCATAACCACCAATGTAAAAGATACGCCGTTTGTAAACAACAGTTTGGTGATCAGCGCAGTCATAAGGAAGCTTTCCTGGAAATTTTTTCCATTTCAATGGTAATTCGTTGAGATCCATCGTCTCGATTGTACTACCATTCTCTCCACCCACTATAAACAATTGATCATAATAAATGAAAGATGAAGCTCGTATATGATCCTCATTCATTGCTGACGCCTCAAACCAACCATTCTTCTCCCAGAAATAGATCTCCGTAGATTTGCCAGTTTCCTGCGTCGACCCAAATCCACCAGCAATCAAAATGTCCTGTCTTGGGGTATCCAAAACTACTCCTTCAGCTGGCGACGGCGCCGGTTTCTTTGGCAGTTCCAGGATATCGAGCTTCTCTAAGATTTGACTCATCATGTCTTTCATTTCGTTCATGTCTTTCTTCACTTTGTCAAGATCTTCTTTCACGTCTTGAACTTCTTTCTTAATTTCTTGATGATCCCAAGTTATCTGGTCTAAACTGTTCCTCGTTTCCGTATTTGATGCTTCCAGTTTTTGATCTAATTCTACAAAGCTTCCTTTCATATTTCCCACAACGGTTGACATTCCTGTTTCCACTTTTTGGTCTAGTTCTACTAAACTTCCTCTCATATCAAGCATATCTTCTCGTATCTGTCCACAGTCATGACATTTCACCGTCCTATATTCACACTCTACAGTCTCATGACGAACCTTGTCTTTCTTGTTAATCTTCGCACCACAATTTTCGTTCGAACACGACACAGGAGCAAAGCCGCAATTCCCAACATGAGTTGTGAGATCTTCAACACAGACAAACTCTGGACAACCACGACTGGCGTGATCACAATTAATCTTCAGCTTTGATAAATAATTATTCAATACCCGCGGTCGACGAAGCGTATCGACACTCAAATCCTCATTACATTCAGGACAAGTTTGAGAGTTAACATTCAAATGTTCAGTGATACAGTCGAGACAAAACATATGTTCATTATTTCTACAAGACCTTGGTTCCTTGAGGACATTGTAGCAAATTGAACAATGAAAATGATCGTCAACACCTGTCTCAAACCTGCTGTCGTCGTAGCCATATTTAACTTCTGTCAGGCAATAAGCCATTCTTCAAAGCTAACGATAGATTGCAGGACTTTACATTGTGAGAACAGTTAATTAAACAAATAAATGAATTATCTTACATAATGCAGAAGATAACAAAAAGCAGAAACAGGCGATGTTTTTAAAACCCTTGCACTTTCGATTCGCACAATATTGTTCGATGTTATTAAAATATAATCTTTTCCGTGTATTTTAACTATTTTTAGTTATCAATAAGAACGAAGAGGAAATACGTCATGCTACATACGAGATGAAATGACACACATGACCAAAACATGACTTGATATGTTCGACTTGTAGCGAAACGTTTTTCTTTGTTTTAAAGTCATTATTTCTAGCTGAGTGCCCAGGAAACACACTACGCTTCGCTACATTAAAGTTGAAGTTGAAAAAACAGGCTTCACTTAGCCAAAGTGAATACATAATCTCGAGAATCGTTGATCTCGGTCAGAGGTCATAATTAACTGGATTAACCCACTGATCTCGGATAACATGAATAGACCGGGTTAGATTAAATGGATGTTGGATCGGACTGGATCGATCCACGGATTTCAAATAGACAGGTTAGCTTTATTATTTCTATCGTGTTGATGTGATTAAATATCGTCACTATCAATTGATAATTATTAAATAAGATGTTTGCGGTGAACTTTAAGACGATGATTATTTACAACTGATGTGTATGAAATTACTATCTAAATGCGATGGGGATTGTTGAATCCTCGTACCCAGGAAACCACCCCGAGCACCACTTTCAGCTGACCTCTATATAAGACCTGAATGCAACGTTATATATTTTACGATTAAAGCGCCTGGGTACGAAACTGGGATTGTTGTACATCCGACATCGTGAATTTATGTCGAAATAATTTGAAAGAGAAAATTGTTCGATGATCTTGGACCAAGACCTTGGCTTCCTTGAGCAAAGTCTTTGGGTGAATTAATATGGCATGCACTTACACGCTAATCGCATTGAAATATTTCCCTGTAAGTTTAACTAAAATGTCAATCCGAATTGGGTACCAGTGCTAGTCTCTTTCTATTGTTTTTGCCAGCACGACCGTCGACCGTGAAGATAAAAACAATAGAAAGGGACTGGCACTGGTGCTTAATTCGGCTTCAAATTGGTTTCGAAGATGGCGAACGAGTTACCGTTCCAATTCATATAGAGTTCACTGGTTTTACCCAAATCACAACCCAAGCCAAAGCCAATCACTTGTAAGCAAGCTGTTCATAACTTCCCTACACTGACTAAGCCCTAATCTCACTATACTTATCCGCGCGAAGGTTTCATCACAAGGGTATATCACTGGTTAACATCATCGTTTGATTGAGATGAGATATCGTGACAACACTTGGCCCTTGTTCCCAGGGCTCGCCGTCAATCTGCATGGGTAACTTCCGTTTTTCTTTCACAGTTATCTACATTAAAAAATATTGGCGCGTAATAAATATGATTCACTCGTTACATATTGACTCGTTGCATATTAGAATTCCCCGACCGAGAAATTTTAGGCAAATTATAATAAAGCTAACAGACGAGCATATATTCTGTTATGGTTGATCATACCGAAACGCCATATTGAAAAACATCAAGGATACATCCAGCTATTTTATAGAGATCAGTGGCTAGGTTTTGTCTTTGTAAAACAACTTAAGGTCGTAGGTTGATTTGGGTAGAATACGTGTTTAGGCTGAGGTTACATGTAATCTGGGAGTTTCTGTGATCAAACTTCAAATGAATGGGTACGTGATAATATACCTTCACTTCATGGGCTTGACCAAGTAATAATGGATCCGCCAGATTGACATGCATTCTGGCGATATGAAAGGACGAGTAGAGACCACAGACTTCAAGTTTACCATCGCTAAAACTGGATACGAATAATCTTGTGTATTAAAAATTATGCATAAATACACCTTTGATTGATGGTGAATGGAAATTTAAAAGTACCCATGCTTGAAATGTCGTATTTATTTATATTCTGAAGAGATACATGCCAGAACCATACCTTACGGGGGGTAGGTCATCTTCACATTACCAGAAATCATGAACACCAGCGCACCAGCTGTAATATTTAAAACAACTATTCCTTCCAATTCAGGCAGTTCAACCACCTTGCCATCCATTTCCAGCTGAACATAAAAAGTGAAACTCAATGAGGCTATATATAACTAATAAATTCGAGTCAAACAGAAAGAATAGAAGCAGAGATAAAGCATTAAAAGTGTATTACAGACAGGTAGTTCAGTGTTAATAAGAGGAAAAAAAAACATGAAAAAACGGTAAGCACAGCAACAACACCAATAAAAACAAACAACGAACAAAAACAGCAAATTGAACAAGAGCAGTAGTTGAAACATAGTATACCTGAATCTTTTCTTGCAAATTTTTACAATTAGCTTCTAAAACTTCATTTACTCCGTAACTAAAGTAAATTGCCTTAAAAGAAAAAGATTCAAAACTTAATAATAACACGTTTCCATAAAAAAACGTACAAAATTAATAACGAATTCAGTCATTTCGCAGAAATACAAAAGAATACAGTTTATTGAACAAAACAACGCTCACAATATTTTTTGATAATTTTCTTACCTTGTTAAACAAGCGGCTGCTAAAAAGCGACGGTTGTTGTTCACGATGTTTGTGAAATTTTAAGACGACCGTAGCATCGCATCCAACGGAAAAATAACTATTCATTTTAAACACCTAAAATGTAAGGTCACAAACATACAGTTCATTGTGCGATCGCTCTGATCTGATTTGCGAGCAAATGCACAATCACCAGAGATTGATTGCGAGATTGTTATCACGTGTGAGTAGAACTATATTTAGAGATAGCTTGGGCTCGTAAGGGTAAATCAAGGACAGATAATCGATGATTTTCTCAAAAATAAAATGGAAATGAAAAATTGCATGCGTAATAATAGCTCAGCCACAGTTTGCCTTTGTGGTGAAATTATCTGGGCCTAACATATGCTTCTTAAAACTATCATCAAATTATTTTTTTTAATTATTTTTTTATTTTTTTATATGCCCGAAACTATTTAGCTAACAATTTCTGTTAGAATACTTGTTCATTGTGATGTTTTTTGTTGTTGTTGTTTGTTTGTTTGCTGTTTGTCAGACAATTTGCATGTTAAATTATACTAATTATATAATTAGAGAACTAAGAACGTTTAACTGTCACATAATGACAAATTTATTTGCTTGCGCAATTTGTAAACGCTATTCATAATTAAGTCAACCATTTTCTGCAATCATTTGAACTTGAAAATGAGGTCAAGATGACTTCGAAACGTCGTTCTTCAATAAATTTGTTATCGCTAACATATTTGTCTAAAATTATTTCTTTTTCCTGGTTTAATACAGAAATAAAGGAACATTTAAACAAAAAATAGCTAAAAGCAATTAATTTGTAAGACGAAATTTATTATGCTATTTCTAGTTTTAAAAGCAATTCACCATTTATAAAACATATTGTTATGTAACAAATTCATAATTACACTCATTGTTCACAACTACAGTTCTTGATCTGGCTTCGTTTCATCTTGTATTTATTGTTCATGCTAACAGTCGCCAATGACCTGTCGCTAATGTCAATCTTACACATATTTTCTTTGGCGTGGCAAAACTTCAGCAACTGCCCTGCGCCTGGCTTTATTCATGTTCGGAAGATATTTCCATGTGGAATCTCCCATTGTAAAACACTCCACTGAATTAAGCGTGTCACCTTTCTCATTCAAACCTCCCATGACGACAATTGTGTTTCCAGTAATAACCGCACAACATCCTCCTCTCTTCTTCAACATGGATGGTAAGACTGTGATCTTGCCCGTCTTGCAGTCATACATGAAAACATCATTCAGAACTCCGGTGTTCACGTCCCAACCTCCAATAACAACTACTTGATCTCTCCAGGGAACTGTTGCCATTTTCGCTAACGGACGAGGTAATGGTGGCATCTTTCTACACTTATTCCTCTTTGGATCAAACTCTATAACACTGTCCATAGAAAAAAAAATATTCTCTTGCCCACCTAAAATCAATATTTTATCTCCAACTACCTCAGCGCGATGGCAATCTCGTGGCTCAGGCATTAGGCACAACTCTTTCAAAGTGCAAGGTGAGGTAAGTTCCAATTCACTAATCACGTCGGAATACCGTTTTTTTTTATAATCATAACCACCAATGTGAAAAACACACTGTTGGTAAACAACAGTTTGATGATTATTACAGTCATAAGGAAGCTTTCCAGGAAATATCGTCCATTCCAGTGGAAAATCATTGACATCCAAGGTCTTGATTGTACTACAGGGATATCCCCCAACAATGAACACCCGATCATCATAAATGAAAGATGAAGCCCCTATATGCTCCTCGTGCATTGATGACATCTCAAACCAGCCATTTTTCTCCCAGGAAAATATTTCTGTAGTTTTTATAGTCTTATCGGAAGTCTCTCCGCCCCCTGCAATCAAAATGCCCTCTCTTGGTGTGTTCAACATTCCCTCAGTCGGAGATGTCGGTTTCCTCGACAATTCAAGAATATTAAACCTCTCTAAGATTTGACTCATCATAACTTTCACTTCTTGCACATCTTTGTTCACTTTGGAAAGATTTTCTTTCACATCTTTGACTTCCTTCTTAACTTCTGCGACTTCGTTCATTGTTTTTGCCCTTGATGCTTCCATTTTCACATTAAATTCCTCTATTAATTTTCCATTCGCTGCTTCCACTTTTTGATCCAACTCCACCTGACAACTTTGCACCTTTCCACCAACTGCTTCCACTTTTCGATCCAACTTTACCTGACAACTTTGCACATTTCCACCAACTGCTTTCACTTTTCGATCAAGTTCAACCAAACTTTCCCTCAGCGCTCCCACATCCTCTCGTATCTGTCCACAGTCATGACATTTCACCGTCCTATATTCACACTCTACAGTCTCATGACGAACCTTGTCTTTCTTGTTAATCTTCGCACCACAATTTTCGTTCGAACACGACACAGGAGCAAAGCCGCAATTCGCAACATGAGTTGTGAGATCTTCAACACAGACGAACTCTGGACAACCACGACTGGCGTAATCACAATTAATCTTCAGCTTTGATAAATAATTATTCAATACCCGCGGTCGACGAAGCGTGTCGACACTCAAATCTTCATTACATTCGGGACAAGTTTGACAGTTAACATTCAAATGTTCAGTGATACAGTCGAGACAAAACATATGTTCATTATTTCTACAAGACCTTGGTTCCTTGAGGACATTGAAACAGATTGAACAATGAAAATGTTCGTCAACATCTTTCTCAAACCTGCTGTCGTCGTAGCCATATTTCACTTCTGTTGGGCAACAAGCCATTCTTTAAAACTCATAATACAGTCTTGGCGTTACATTGTGAAAACAAATTATCACTGATATGATTTATCTACATTTTAGCGAAGAAAAATCGAGTAAATTGGCAGACAAATTCAAACCATCCTACTTTCGTTTTGAGATAATACTAAATAAAGCACTTCCGGTTTCCCCAAAATTATGTACAGGGCTCTCACAACGAAATTGATGAATTCCTCAAAAATTTCTCAAAATTTCCCCACATTTCCGATGAATTCCTTAGACATAAATAACGTAGAACTTTAATCGGCCACATGTGACTAATTAGACCAAAATGATCATGCTGCTATTTGCAATCAAACGCGCCGCGCGCCGAATTTTTATCGTTGTTTGCTAGCAGTCAACGTGACGTTCTTCCCTACTCAACGTTACGTTCTGGCCTAATCAACATTATGTTCTGATTGAATATGCAGGGATGATTTGAGTGACAGTTTTAAAAATATTTCAACCGTCAACTCATTAGAACTGGCTAATCAAAACATACGCATTTTAATGATTTTATTGTCGGCTAATTTTATTCAGTAAACACTCTACTGGCGAAAGTGTGCAATGAATCTTATATAAATGTAAGAATATACAGCAATTTCCCCGAAAAAGTTACTCCCCCCCAGATCGCTCCCCAAAAATCCACCAATTTCCCCGTTTTGGGTGAGAGCCCTGATTATGTAACACGCAAAGATTACTTCATCAGCATTCTTGTGGTGTACTGTTACATACATATCACGGATTATAAAAACTTATTTCATATCACAAGTTTTTTTTATTCGACGCTACGAGGATTTCATCGAATTGAATTTTCCATTATGGGGATTAATGGAAAAAATGACTGGATTCGAAGAAAACACAACTATTTTTGAATTTTAATCGGTTATGTATCACAAAAACAAACTCGAAAACAAATTTTAGCTATGTGATGAGGCAGATGAGCACTGGTTATTTTGCCTGCCTGCGAGGTATTGCTTTTGAAGTGAAGCCTTTGAAAATATGATTTTCATGAATTTTTTCTGCAAAAGTGGAAGTTGTTATAACTTAAATTCTATGATTGAATTTTAAAAAATATTTGTATGAAATTTATACAAACCTTTCTTGGTTTTGGCACGTGAAAATACGTGTATGTGTCTATCGTAATCTTCCATCTGTTATAAAGTAGAAAATCTAGCTCTTCAAAAACTCTAACCTCTGTTCAATATTATTATAAGTTTGAATCAAAACTAACTTGATTGATTGATTGAATGAATTTTCAAATGATTTGTGTATTTATAATTTCTAGTCTCCTATAGATTTATTTATATCATGTGTTTTTCATGGGTGAAGGCACAATAGTTCTTTTGAAAATAATAAAAAATATCACCAATGCAAAACACAGAAACAATTGCATCCGAGGGACGGAGGGAGTCCAAATTTTACACTTTCCAGGGGAAGCCCAACCACAACCACCCCAAACTAAGATCCATGGTAATGAATACAGTATGGATGTGCAGCTCAGTCAATGGTTATCAAAACAGGAGACAATAACAAGCATTACAAAAACCAATTGTATAAAATACAGTAATATAACCAAACCCACCACAAATGCTAGGATAGTCAGACAGTCAAAATCAAAGCCACTCTCAGGTAAAAAATGAATAAAGAGCTAAGTAAAGTGTATATATATTTTATAAGTAATTTTTGATAACAAACCAATTACCTGTCCAAAGCAGATGGCATTGCATTTTCAACCTTTTCCAAGATTTCACCCATACTTTGAACTCCAGTATAACCACTGCCCCACCCCAGCACTCGGGCGAGGTCATTACCAGTCCCCAGGGGAAGCACTGCTACATATGGTGGGATCTATAGTGGTGCACAATTTTGCAAGATATAAATTTTGAAGCTCTTGATCAGACAAGGCTGAGTGGAATGATAATGAGACGAGAATGTGCAAAATTGCACAGATCAGGAGCTTGTTAAAGTTTGCAGATTTAAAAATAAGAGAAAAACTCACATCAACTCTGACAAAAGCTGATCAATGAAAGTTGACGAATGTTAAAGAGATTTTTTGGTCATTAAACTATATACTCAAGGGAAATTGACTAAGAGTCTAAATTAATCTATTAACTGGCATTAAATATCTGAAACCTAAAACAAACCATCAACCCTTGCATGATACAATATATCATGAAAACTAAGAAACAAAATTCATCATATAGACCACTTGCAGCATCCCCATTTTGAAGGGAAAATGTTGTAGTTTTTAAATCTGTCAAAGGTTGTGAAGGGCAGCAAATGCAAATTAAACATGTCTTTGCCATATCTAAGTTTGTACAAGGCAGGTGCTTTTAAAGAGTCAAAGTAAGTACTAGTGAATTTATTGTGTTTCACCCCAGAGTTACGACGCTCGTCATGATCAAGTGATGTCACAGACAAGTGGTCTATTTTTAAAATCTTACTTTTATATTTGCAGAATCCAGGGCGCCCAGCACCCAACCAACTGTACCATCGCCTCCACAAATCAATATTCGACAGCGATGGTGCGGCAGCAGTTCACAAAACTCCAAAGCTGATTCTGGAGAGACATCTATCAGGTCAACCACCTGAAAGTCAAACTAACAGTCAAAATTGGAGGTATCTAAGTGCAACCTGGGCCTTCATCAGTGCAATTATAAGCTTTTAAATTCCAAACATCATTTTTTATCAGTTGGTGATACATTTGTTCTCACTGTATTTGCAAATTTTAAAAACAGTTTTACCAATCTCGGCATATAACAAATACATGTGGTGTTCATATTATGATTTAAGTTATCAGTTTAGCTAGCACGCAAAACTTAAAGTGGCACTTAAGTCTGTATGTAAACAAATTATTGTTTGTTTACATTTTGAAGTTCTGTACTGTTTGAAATATGCTGTGTTGTCTGAATATTTAACAACATGTAGATTTGCTATGCCATTAAATGAATATGAACTAGTGTTTTTGATGAAAAAAACTCTTTACTCACATTGTCATGGGAATAACTGATGGGCAGAACAGCATTGAGGTGAATAAACAACATAAATAATGACATTAAGTTGAATAAAAAACACAAATGATGACATTGAGGTGAATAAACAACACAAATAATGACATTGAGGTGAATAAACAACACAAATAATGACATTGAGGTGAATAAACAACACAAATAATGACATTAAGATGAATAAACACCACAAATAATGACAATGAGATGAATAAACAACACAAATAATGACATTGAGATGAATAACAAACAACACAAATAATGACATTGGGGTAAATAAACAACACAAATAATGACATTGAGATGAATAAACAACACAAAACACTATAAAGACAACAATTGGTGCCTTATGCTGCTAATTTCAAGACTCTGACACCAAATCATATTACCTGAATTGGGTTAAGTAATTCTCTGAAAGCTCTCAACAATCTCTCTCCCTCATTTTCACCACTCTTTCGATTCGCCAGCACCAATAATGGTGACCAATCCTTGAATTTCGGTGGATCTACTTCCCGTACCATATACCGTCGGTAGGTGCCCTTCCATCTCTCGTACTTAACCGTCACACAATAGGGTGGCACCACCATGGTTTGGAACTTCCCGAAATCACAGTCCCGAGATACCATCTGGATGCAATTCTCGTGAACCGTTCGCTGGCACCAGACGCACCGTAGATCGCAAAGGCGTGGCTCGGTACCACAGTGCATATTGCACACCTCACACACGCTTGTCAGGGGTAGGTTCCCCCTTATCCAATGGTGTTTCATGGCAGCACGTCTGGACAATACCACAACCTTGCATGCATGCTTCTTGTTGGCAGCATCCAAACATAAGTCATGCACGGATAGTGCACATGTATCGCAAAAACTTCCTCTCACAACTGATATTTTACACCAGTTACAATAGGTAGGCTTATCAAGGAAGTCCGCGTGCTTCCATCTGTGGCCTCGATGAGGGTCACCGACTTGCAAACCTTTTTTTGAACGTCTTCTGCAAAGTTTTGTGATTATCCAGCACACAGCAAAACACAGCAGACAATAGAATGCTATCTGAGACGGATCTCCGCGCCAGTAAAAAAAGTCCTCCACAATTTTCAAGCAATTTTCTAACCTACTTTTCTCGATATTTCCAGCGTTCATTCTGCATGTTTTGAAAATACACCTGCGCCAAATAACATCGTTCAGAAGTTGACTCACTCTCAATCTCCGAACAGGTTTCGCGCCTATCAAGAGTTCTGGAAAATGACAATTTTCGTCGCCACATTGAATTGTAACGCATTAAACGCATTATGGGAAAATATCGAAATTATGAAGATGCTTTTTAAATTTTCATTACAGTGAAAATTATTAAATATTAAAATGAAAAAAAACCACGAATAATTCTTTAACGAAAATTTTAATCTTTGCCAGGAAATGAGCATTTTTAATATAGCAGTAAATATACAGTACACTTGTGTCGTGAAATACGCCATTTTTGTTTTGAAGTTTGTAATATTTGTAATATTTAAATTTGAAACATCTGGGCAATTAAAAGTAGTTAGATTAAAAGTAGGTTTATTATAAAATGCTGTAAGTGAAAACGAAATTAAATGTGAACAAACAAATATATTATCCCTTTATATGCAAGATTTCACTTAAAATAACTTTCTAAACTCAAATTCTGTTCAATTCAAGTTATTCAACAAAGAAAATCACTTCAGGGGATAGTTGTTCGAAGCTAGGTTAACGCTAGCCTACGTCATTAGCGCTAATTGATACAGATAATAACCATAATTAACTTCAGTGTTGCCAAGTTCGGGATTTTATCCCGAGATCTCGGGATTTTTTGAAGCAGTTGGGATTTTTTGGGGATTTATTTCTCAAATGGTAATCTCGGGATTTTTTTAGGGATTTTTGGGAAAGGGAAGTTTGGAATTTGGGAAAAGATGTTTTCGTTAAATTGACAAATAAACATGTTAAAAATCTAAGGTAAATTAATACTTGCGGCAAAAACGCTACTCAAAGTCACTCAATAAAGACTATTTGTCCTATTTGTACAATCGGTTATGCAGAGAAGTACCGCTTTTGAAACGCAAACTGACCGGACTGGGTACTAGGGTGCGCCAAGGCTAAGGACTGGGGTCGAAATTAGAATCTCGGGATTTTAGGGGGAATCTCGGGATATTTCAGGCGCTTACTTGGGATTTTTACAAAATTACAGTTGGCAACACTGATTAACTTTTATATGCAAGCAAGCAATTGAAGTTTATGTAAAAATTTACGTGAGCCCAAAGTGAAGTTAACCGACTTTTTAACCGAATTCAAGCGAATGGATATAAGTCTTATAACTAAATGAGCAACAATTCCAGTGCACATTATTCCCATATTTTTTTGGGACTTTGAATATATTTAGTATTACCACTCTATAATTGCTGAATTTTGTGTATTGTAAATAAATACAAGTTTGATTTCGAGGAGTTTGCAACTTTGTGGGGACATTCTTCATAATAAATTTTGAATTTTCAAAGGTTTTTTGTAATCCCTTAGTACTGACGTGTGTAGGAAGCTTTATAATTAGAGTCTCACATTTCAATCGAAATCGCACAAGGAAATATGCAAATATTATAAATAAATAACTCCAACAGCGGCATTTTGACATTGATTAGAATTTAAATATCATTACTATATAAAAGATAGCTTTTGTAATGTTTGGGAGCATTAAGCGTCGTTTTCATCGTTCGTGGTGGGTTTGTAACGATGGTTGAACGCTTGCAACATTGTATCAATATTTATGTGGCAATGTAATGTCGCATGCAAGCGGAAAGAAAAGATACGAATACATATGTTGATGAATAGACAAATTTTGTCGCATGTTCCACATAGTTCAACTTGTCGCCTTCGTTATGAGCGGTTGATGAAACGAACGATACATATTTTATAAAATTCATTTGGTAAGTAAGTTCCTCTAAATGTGTAGCACTCATAGTTACGGGCTTTATGGCTGAAAAATAATAAATCATACGCCACTACTGCTGTACCATGTACAGGCCTACCCATTGTCATGAAACCGAACGCTACAGGTTGAATTATATCGCTACAGGTTGAATTATATCGCTACAGGTTGAATTATATGACTTGCTCTGACAATTTCGACACATATTCCTAGCCTTACCATGAGCATAAAATGAATGAATCATGTCTGAACTCAATCAAAAGGTCGAGCCAAGGAAGAATATATTTGCTTTATATGCTCGTATTATCTGCGGAAATTTTTATGCTTGTTTATAATATATTGGCTTTCCAATTTAGCTATATGCTTGATACGAACTTCCGCAGCGAACATAAATTAACCACAAAAGCGTTTCCAACATTTGGTAACACGACATTTGTATTCAAGATTTGAACCAAAACTTTGTTTATCCGTCTGTAGGTTTGTATGTATATACATGCATCATTTTGGAAAGTCTACAATTCTACAGGGCAGAGGCGAGCTAATAATGCTAAAGCTTTCTTCCTATGTAAAGTTGTTAGTGTCATTAGCAGAAACTTATCTTTAATTGCAACTATTTTGCAGCTTTCTCATTGTTAACTTTTTAACAAGAAGTCGCAAAACGGCGAATATTCAACACTTTGCGACAAACACATGCTCTTGTGTATACACTTTCGTCAGCCTAATTCGCTTTGTTTGTTGCTGTCGAGGTTCAGCCATGCAAAACCTCCAAAACTTTGACCTTTTGTCCACTGGTATTTGTTGACAATTTCATATTCCATTATAAGTTGACAAAGTAATATTTCCTGTTTTATTGCTGATCTGATAAAATTTCTTTTGAGACAGAGAAGTCGATTACAATGTAAAATTTCGGACTATTACGTTTTATATCACATGAATTTTACTTATAACCTACTTACTATTTTTTTTTTAAAACTTAACCGGTTTTTCTTTTTACCTCAGACGAAATCATCAACCCCTCTTCGAGATCTATAAAAGAGACATTGGACTTTGTTCTGTCTTTTGGACACTCTTTAAGTGTCCTAAAAAGTAGTAGTTCAAGGCTTTTATATACAAACTTTATTGAACAGGTCATGGTTGCGACTTGCCAACAAATTTGATAGAAAATATACATTTCATAATTGAAATTTTGTCCTCTAGATGTACTGCTTTAAGACAATATGGACGCATCAGCAACGACGTCTAATTACAAGTTACAACAATTAAATAAAGAAAATGGCTGTGCAACGGCGGCAAATGATACTTCGCAGACCGAAGACAACAAAATAGACTTCATCCTCGTCTACACGCAATCAGACGATGAAGACAAAAATGCAGACCGGGAGATATTCGAAGGGAATTTAGCATTGCGAGGATTGGAATTGAGACACGTTCCTTCATCTAGCGCCACGGTTTGTAAAATATCTCTTTACTCATTTTTGACTTTCGGTTGTGAAAAGTTAAGAAAAACCTTCTATGTGAAACATCCACTTATTGACATTAGGATGGCTCACCCCACCGCTATTCAGTCTGACAATGACCGGCGGTTAGAGATTTAGTTTTCTATATGTGGTTCCAACAGCATTCTTCTTGATCCTTAACAAGACACCCTGGGGTAAAGAATGGGGCCCCAACCCCAACGTTTGACGTTCAAATGACTAAATTCGCACACATTGAATGGGAGCCCCCATAACCAATTATTTAACAGCTATAATAGAGGAACGATTTCACACTAGTTGCATTGACTGGAATGGCACTCTCCCCTCTCCAAACCATACTCAGCCATACCTCCCACTGACCATACTCAGCCATACCTCCCACCGACCATACTCAGCCATACCTCCCACCGACCATACTCAGCCATACCTCCCACCGACCATACTCAGCCATACCTCCCACCAACCATACTCAGCCATACCTCTCACCCACCATACTCAGCCATACCTCCCACAAACCATACTCAGCCATACCTCCCACCGACCATACTCAGCCATACCTCCCACCGACCATACTCAGCCATACCTCCCAACCGACCATACTCAGCCATGCCTCCCACCGACCATACTCAGCCATGCCTCCCACCGTTTAATTGACCAATCTAGTGTGCACTGGCGTAGCCACCATCGATAATTGGGGGGGTCCATATTCATATATTCATGTAAACAGACTGTAAAGACAATTGATTTGAAAAGAAATTAATCCTGCGTATCACGAATATATGAATATGGACCCCCCCAATTATCGTTCTGGCTACGCCGCTGCTAGTGTGAAACGCGTGTCATTAAACAATCCTATTTCTATTAACTGTGCTACAACTTTAGGAACAAAACTTGGTTTTTGTACAAGTACATGCCCCACTCGAAGTGTTGTACCAGAAAGCAGAAGATATGAACATTCAGATGCCAATCAAAGATAGCAAAAAGAAAAAGAAAAAGAGAGATTCGGAGAAAACCTTTTCAGGAAACCTTTACGAAAAGTACGAGCATCGGGATCCATTCGTCGTAAAAAATCCCACTGTTAGACGTCGAAATCCAAGTACAACAACGACGTTTTCGACGGCGAATGTTGCCGCTTTTGAGACAAAGAATGGCCCGTATTTTTTCGACAATGCGGAAAGAAGTCGAATGGTGCGACGGATATTACAGTTGACGTCATTTAAACGTACGGAAACCTCTGAGGAAGTCGAGGAACACGAGGACGACACGACACTCGAGGAAGGTCATGGGATAGAACAGTTGTGTCACAACGGTGTATATCAATCGTACTACCCCCTCCATGATGGACCATTACAATCACCTGATAATCACGAGATGTCACGTGAAAACCACAATGCGTCAGGTGGTGATGGCAGTGTGACTCGAAGCAGTTACATGACATCACGTGACGATTACACCGATAACGATCGACAAAGATTGCGCCAGGACTGGGCCTCTTTTTCAAAGATATTCAAATACCAACCTCTAGACGCCATCCGGGACTATTTCGGCGTACGCGTAAGCTTCTATTTCGCATGGCTTGGGGTCTACACCACGTTCCTTGTACCAGCTGCGATCGTGGGTTTCCTGTGTTTCTTGTATGCCCTTGGAACCATGACAACGTCTGAACCTCTCAAGGAAATTTGCGATCAGGCAAATGAAAGGTAGGCCGGATCTGTAGGCAAATCTGCCCCATACTTCTAAAGGGTGTTAAGGCGGTGTTACACTATGCAAGTTTCCTTGCAACTTGCAATGCAATTCTACTCCTAAGGCATCTAAAGATGTCAAATACAAACATTTCTTACGATCTGGTAACGTTTTCTTTGCATTTCGAACACTCTTTACTAATTAACATCCCTCGAAATTATAATTGCATTGCAAGTCGCAAGGAAGATTGCATAGTGTAACAGCGCCTTTAGTCTTGGAAGATAGGAGCGGAGAACATTCCGTTCTTTTGACCCTAACCTCCCAATTCTTCCAACGCAACAAAATGTTTGTGTAAACAATGCGAATCGTAATGAAATATTTTGCTTTTTCTTTCATACAGACTGTTTTACATGTGTCCTCAATGCGACCGACATTGTAGTTTCTACAGTCTAACAACTAACTGTCATTACTCAAGATTTGCGCACCTTTTCGACAACGAAGCTACGGTATTCTTCTCAGTCTTCATGTCGATATGGGCGACCCTTTTTCTCGAATACTGGAAGCGCACGGAGGCCACGCTTGCGTTTAAATGGAACGTCTACGACCTTTTGAGAGAGTACGAGCCGCTACGGCCTGAATTTGTTACCAAAGTCAAGGACGAGAGGGAGAATACCGTCACGGAAAAGCCAGAACCTTACATTCCACGCTTCACGAGGGTTCGTCGAACGATGGGTGCTTTGGGAGTGGTGTGTTTGATGGTGCTGGTTGTAATTGGTACAGTGGTTGGAATCGTCGTGTACCGGGCGAGCGTTCTTGCTGCGTTGTACGCAAATTCCAGCCACAGCCTTCGTGAAAACGCCAAGCTCATGACCTCTATCACTGCTGCCGGGATTAACTTGATCTTCATTCAACTGCTAACGTGGTTTTACTTCAAAATCGCCGTGAACTTGACGAACTGGGAGAATCCTCGCACAGTCACGGAGTATCACAACAGCTTTACGTTGAAAATGTACGTTTTCGAATTCGTCAACACGTATTCGGCTCTCTTCTACGTAGCGTTCTTCCAAGCTGGTTATATTAATGGCAATCCGGTGAAATACAACAGAATAAACGGACGAAGAATTGAGGAATGTCACCCGGCCGGGTGTCTGATTGATGTCTGCATACAACTGGCTGTGGTCATGATCGGAAAACAAATTTTAGGAATGCTCATCGAATTTGTTTACCCGTAAGTAGTCAAGAGTCAAGACCTCTCATAAAAGAACTATACTCTGACTTCAATGAGTATATTTTAGGCATATTTACTCGCTGGATATATTTCTGGGCAGAAAAAAATGTCATAAATATTGAAGTATTTCATGCACCCAGATATATTTGTTATACAGAGTCTCTAAACTTGGGATTTGTAAATGCATATTTCAAACTTTTGGTTTTTAGGTCAATTCGCAAATGGTGGTACGACAGACGCTTCCGTCGTCCTAGCAACGCTGACGAAGCCTTGCCAAGGTGGGAAAACGATTATTGGTTGCATGAAGAACCGGAGTTCCGAATGTTTTATGAATATTTGGATATGGGTAAGTGATCAGTGCATGGCTACTACCTTTTGGCGAGTTATGCTCTCTACATGCCGCCCTATTTTTGTCAACAAAGCCAAAGGAACAATCATTTTCAAGCGGGAAAATTTGAAACATGTTGATATGAATATGCTCCTTCGCAGAAAGTAAACTTTTTTACCTTGCAAATACAATTAATGGATGTGGCAAATTTTACATTTTCAGTGAGGTCTGCGCATTCGTTCTGCTCCTAACCGTGCAGAGACCATTGTTTAAGTACTTACATTAATTTCGCAGGCCAGTTTTAAAATGATATCGTGGTTTAGAACCATCACGAACTAAAAGCTATATTCGTCAAAGTTCGTCATCGGAAATTGTAAACTGTGAACAAACATTTGTTTACATTATTGACTGCATCACCTTTAATAATCTAATCGTAAGCGATTTAAATTCGCAAAATATTATATTCTCGATCGGTTTGCCGTCATTTTTTTTTATTTTCATCAATTCACGATAGATCCCTTTGATTTTGTAGTCATTCAATTTGGCTTCGTGACAATGTTCGTTGCTTCGTTCCCATTGGCGCCACTCTTCGCTCTTCTGAATAATTTCGTGGAAACACGAGCAGACGCCATTAATTTTGTCGTTAACTACCGTCGCCGAGTCGCCGAACAAGTGAAAAATATCGGAATATGGTTTAAAATCTTGGAAGTTGTCACCAAAATCTCGGTCGTGGTTAATTCGTTTGTGATTGCTTTTACCACAGAGTTCATACCGAGGTACTGTTAACAACTTGATTTTAGCCAGGTGGAGTGTACCATTTTTCGGTATATTCGACCATAGTCGAGTGTACCATTTTTCGGCATATTCACCATGGTCGAGTATACTATTTTTCGGTAAATTCGACAATGGTCGAGTGTACCATATTTCGGTACTTTGGACCATGGTCGACCACAGGATTTCATTATTATATTCTCATACTTATATTTCAGGCTGGTTTACTCTTATCGGTACAGTGCGGACGGATCGTTAAAAGGTTATGTCAACAACTCGCTAACCTACATCAACATTTCCGATCTAGAACCAGACTCTTTGCCCGACAATCCCTTAAAGAATCTCAACTATTCGCTGCCTTACTGCAGGTATAAAAACACCTTCAAAAGTAGCAAGCCAGACCCTTTTAGTAGCACAGAGCAGGACTGACTTGCCGATGATTGAAAACACTAACAAGAATAGATCATATAAATGAAATAATCGAGAATTTGAAAGCATCCGTAAAACCCAGCCAACAAAATTTCCCTGCTGTTTTCAACGGCTCAAACGATGCTAAATAATAATTTAAACTGAAAAACAAATAGAAAAGTTCGAAGACATTTGTGATTCTATCATTTGGTCGCAGTATCATTGACTAATCTCTACTTTAGAATGTCTAAAGTGATACAGAAATGAGCACTTTTGCATCGACTAGTTTGAGGTGTTTGCACCATTTACAACCATATATAAGAATAGAATACATAAATTTATACTTTATGAACATTATACCTATAGATCACATCTTGCTAGGGCACTGGATTTTATAGCGCCAGGGTGGCGCTGAGTGCGTTCAAAGTTAAGCTGCTTGGCATGAACGACACCTGATGTGGAATTCCTCAATATCTATGACAATGGTCGTAATACACAAACTTTCATTTTCCTTAGATTCAAAGAATACCTGGAACCGAACAAGCCATATGACGTCAGCAAACAGTTCTTATACGTCATGTTATACCGCCTTGCATTCGTCATCGCCTTTCAATATTTTGTATTTCTCATCAAAGACACACTATCCCGTCTCGTCCCGGACATCCCCAGGTCGCTGCAGGCAAAGATCGCACGCAAGTTGCACGTGGAGCGCATGTGCTTTCGCAAGAGTGCCGTGGAAGCCACGCGCGAGTTCTCGCGGCAGCAGCAAGAACGGGTACAGCGAGCATCCGGTCCAGCGCACTTCGACGGCAAAGTACTTCATGTTGGTAAACGAAACTCGAGCAAGAAAAAGAAGCGGGAGAGAAAGCATTCAAATGAATTCCCAAGTTCCTTTTTTCATCACCAGTCCTACGTTTGAAGCAGCTCTCGGTCGAAAATATTTTAAAAATATTGGGCAAATAGCAAAGTAGCAACAGAATCACCTACGATCAAATCAATGAAGATATCCAGCCTTTAGATTTTAGCCAATAGCCGGTCACTTTAACACGTACAAATGTGCAAGCGCTGTTTTCAAAGTTATTGAATAAAGCTTTCCTAATTCCACTCAGTATAAACGATTTGAAAAGCAAGAGACTTAGTAGAAAAGAAACATTATATGAACGATTCATTCCGTTGTAATTTCAATGTCTGAGCAGTATTTTTAAATACCCTCATTATCAGGTGTGTAAATTTCCACCTTTGAAGCATAAATAACTTTCAGTAAAGAAATATCAAGTTGCAGGTAATTCAAACGATCACACAGCCATGGCGAAAATAATAGTTCAGTTGAGAATAAAATGATGAGTATTTATTTAACTACACACAACGGGCAGACCATTTATGGCGATAGGAGTTGTTTTTGATTCCTAAAGCGAAGGTTTAGGGTTTAGCTTAAGGCCGGCGCACACTAGAGCTATGTGCTTAGCAAAAAGTCATTCGTGGCCATTAGCCTAAGCCAGTTGCTCTCGTGTGCGGGCGACTTTTCCAGTGACTTTTGTCATTCGTGCCAAAAGTCGCCGGAAAAGTCGCCCGCACACGAGAGCAACTGGCTTAAGCCGATGGCCACGAATGACTTTTTGCTAAGCACATAGCTCTAGTGTGCGCCGGCCTTTACTACCGCAGAGCCGTTGCGTGTTTCGTAGATGATTGACATGAATTTGCATATAGTATTTTCTCCAAATATTAGGTACATATAATTATTAATAATCATCGGTTTTGAGTATGATTAATGATGTTGAATCGTAGAAAATTTTCAAAAAGATCACACAAGATAGCATTGTCTTTGTTGAAAGACAAACAAAACCTTAAACTTGTGTTTCTTAGTATAACCATGGTCGTATATTTGCCATTTTCCGGCGATTATATGACCATGGTCGTGTATTTGCCATTTTCCGGCGAATATATGACCATGGTCGTATATTCGCCATTTTCCGGCGAAAATATGACCATGGTCGTATATTTGCCATTTTCCGGCGAATATATGACCATGGACGTATATTTGCCATTTTCCGGCGAATATATGACCATGGTCGTATACTTGCCATTTTCCGGCGAATATATGACCATGGTCGTATACTTGCTTGGAAAATTTTTTTTTCATTTAAAAATATTTGATATTTTTAAGTTTCCTTTGAAGCATTTCAAGAGCTCTTGAATCATGTTTATCGCATGTAAAACACGCAACTTCTTGTCGTGTTTAATTTGAGATAAAACATGCACAATATACTTTTTGAACTGCGATTTTGTCTAGACAAAAAATAAGTCGTACCATTTCAGCATATACGCTAGCTCACCATTCGAAATTCGGCCGCCGAATGGCCCATTGAATTCGACTTCAAAATCGCAACAAGTCCAGTGTTTTAAGGCCAAATTAGCGCACACAGGCATTTAGTCCTAGTCAATAATGCGTGGTCGGAACAAATATAAGAAGAAATCAGATAAAACACTTTTAAAAACCCTCAGCCATAATGTACCACGAGTATAATGTTACATTTCAAATGATTTTGACACCCACCTCATTGTTTTCGCAATGGATCAAATGGATTTTACATTATCTCGAGCGCTGCATCTATAAAACCATCAGATATATCTTGCCTCTTCATTCAATCCTGTGGGTTGCTTGAGGTATGTGTGAACAAGCGTAAAGCTAGTCCTATAAAGAAGTATACGTTTAAAATAAGTCTGGAAACATGAACTGGGTACTTTTTGTTGGTGTGATTCTACTGAAGCAGTCTTTCCAAGGTAAGTTCGTATAGACCCAGAACTCAGGTTATGTAAATAATGATGGTGAATTGTTTATTTATTGAATTCCTAACGTGAATAAACTCTATTTTCAATCTCAAATGTTAGAGCATGAATACTTATAAGGTTATTCCATTATCCAGTGTTTTTTGTTTAAAACGACGTGAACGCTGTTTGTATTAAAAACATGCTTTTATAAAAGGGTATATACCCTTAAATACTTTATTTACAGTGTTCCTGGCAATACGAAACTTTCATGTAGCTATAATTTTGATTGTTTAACAAATCCATCCATTTTAAAGACTCAAATTATATATAACCCGCGTCGCAAATTGTATAAAGAGAATATTCTACTTTGATCTATTGATTTATTTATTTCCAATGCTGTGTGTTCATGATGCATGGCAATGATTATGTCCTTCAAGTCGAAATTTTAGTCAGAATTTCAGTGTCAATAACTATAAATAAGGTCACTGCAACACGGTTGAAATGTAAGTTAAATAATTACTCTTAACCCATTCAAAAAGGTACTACCCTTGTACTCAGTAGAATCGACTTAAAAGAGGCCTTGTTTTACGAGAGGAATTTAACGATAATAACAATTTTGATATTTTTTAACCAAGGATATTTTAGCTCCTCACACAACAGCTCTTATATCGCGGACTTCGTATCGCGTGATTTAATAGAACTGATAAGTCTGCCTTTAGAAAAACAACCGCCAATCCTAAATTGTGGGAGTAAGTGGGACGAATTCATATATTTTCCCTGAGTCACGATCACTGCCATGCATGTGCAAGATTTCGCTCAGCGAGGATGCTAGCGTGTTTTGATAGCTAAAATATATCATTTAAGAAAGACTCAATTTAAAGTTAATTAAACAAAACCTGTGTATTCAACCACGCCTTCTGTTTACCCAAAGCGAACAGCGAAATCAGCCTCCCGCGCATACGGAGACCCACTCAGTGGCATGTCTGAGTTGCGCAAAACGTTTCATATGGTGCGCAAAACGTTTCATATGGTGCGCAAAACGTTTCATATGGTGCGCGAGTGTCTCTGATGTACAAAACTCTTCAGAGAGTGCCATGCAGTTACTTTCTTCATATAAGACGATCAACATCGAAGATTTAAAATGTAACGAGGGTAAAATTTGTATCGGCGGTGACATTCTCGTTCGTCTCTTGCAAGATTTTGGAGATAAAATGTTCTTTAAAAAACATAATTATAAATGATATCCCCAAGTGTCCTTGAAGATCTAGGAAGGAATTTTAGAAAATCTCCAGAAAATTTCAATCAAATATCTGTTGAATTTAAGGCGTGAAATTTGATTTTGAAAACAATTGGAAAACATTCCTTCCAAGCGAATTGCATTACGAGGCGCATTTTACGCAAATATTTGTATGCGACGCACTCGTCGGCCTCTTCCCATGATCTCCAGGGGCGATCAATTCTTGATCCAAATTCAAATGCGCCACCTGAAAGACACAGTCGATTTCTCAACTCACAAAAGCCTTTTTATCAATATGGTTCTTTTTAAAGCTCTCACTCATTTCACAACAAAACACCTCAATGGCTGATGCCAACCATTTTCGGGCATGTCGGTTCTTGAAGAGTGTAACTTTGATATTTCATCCATTTTTAAAAATCGATTAAGTTCAGTTTTAGATTTCTTGATAATTGTAAGGACTTTGAGTTTAGTGACATTCCTAGCTTATAGCCAAGCTTACAATGTTTTCTCAACTGGCATCCACTATTAAATCGTCAGCCGGCCAAGGCATTGCTGAGAAAGCTTTCACAGTTTTCACACTATTTCTATATTAAACTAGATAAACAACAAACAGTCTGCGAAAACTTAAAAGCTTGTTATTCATGGCCACGTTGTAGATAAGATTTATTCAATCAGACGCTCTTCTCACGAAGTTGTAATAGAGATAACTAAATATTGATTAAAAACTCAAGTATTTGAGACCACACGTATGGAACCATGTATATTATCAGTCTATCAGATACGGAGTCTACAAGGAAAAACCTGTTGTAATCTTTGTCACAAAACATCGATAATTTCCCACGGAAGTTTTATTTGGTAAACATGCTTTATGGAGCTACATTCGCTATTTGAATGCCTCCTGGGCTTTCGTTGGTAAAAGATTGTCCCCATTACTGAAATTCACCACTAGCCCGCAAGCATTCTTCGCTTAGACGAGTATTTTAAACCCTCGTGTCAACAAAGCCTGCCATGTTGAAGCAGTCATTGCCAGTCAAGTAAATCAGTAAATCAGGAAGTAAACAACCGTATTTCAGACGACAAAACCGTGCGAGATAAATAGATTTGGATGATGTATTTGCACTTATAGTACTTATCACAAACATAGTTAAGTTACCTGCATGGTGGCCCTTCTTTTGACAGTTTACCGAACAATCTTGTAATTAGGTCCAAACAACAATTAGGTCGCCTTCTGTCCCGCAAGTAAAGGAGTAACGTTTCATCATATCAATCATTTAAATTCATCGATTAAGATCAGTTAAGTGTGGTTACATTCAGACAAATGTACTTTAACGTCTTTCCTGTTGATACAAGAGACAAATCAGGCTATAGACAGCGAAGAAGACGATGTTTTCATGAGATTTCAACCTGGTTTCGTTCGTTGGCAAAACATCCATTACCATTGCCATGTTTTTTAACAATAATACCCAATCTTTCTTGAAGGAGATTTGAATAACTGACAATAGCCCCATTCGTTCCTCCCTGCCAGATTATTTGAACAAATTAGCCAAGCATCGTCATTAAAACTGTCACGAAAACAATGAAAACAATAGGTCCGAACAAAATTTTTAAACGACGGGCAAGACATGACTATGTATGGTAATTTATTTAGCCAATTTGATAACTCTTAGGGGCTGTTTACATGAGCCCGGTTGCCCGAGATTCAACGAAGCGTGAGAGGACTTTGAGGTATTGAAAAAAGTCTTTATGACACCAAACAAGCACATGCTATTGTTGTGGTAATTATACGACTGCCAGGATCATGTTATCTGCTCAGTTCAATACCTCAAAATCATCTCATACTTCGTTGAATCTCGGGTAAACGGGCTCATGTAAACAGCCCTTTAGTGAAATACTATTTAACTGCCCGTCATTTGCTGAACTAAGAATAAGTATAACACAAATATCTTTCATTAGTCAATTAAACAGTATTCAACGATAAAGTGTTTATTCTTTTCAAGTTAAATTTAACTCGAGTCAGCTTTGCACAAACACGCTAGGGTTATACAACACCATATTTGAAAGCCAGATTCATGATTAATGCACATTCAAGCTAAATAAATTCATAGTGAATGGTGATGGCAAGATATTTTCTGTGAGTGTTTATGTAAAGTTATGGAAGCATGCTTTGTGAATGCGAATAGCAAAAAAATCATGGTAAAAACTACAATCTGAACAATAAACTGACAACAATATACACTGAGAAATCTTGTACGGTTGTAGTTGGTGAACGGTTTCGCTAATTTGGATATTTGAAATAAGCTGCCACTTTGCTATCTGACTTGGCTTAATTCTCGAATCGTACTGGCTGCATGATTCAATGATCTCATTATTTTTCGATATTTAGTTTCATCCAACGAGGTCTATTACTCCCATATGTACAACTCGGTCGATGAATACTGGTCTTACTGTGGTCAAATGATGTGGCCGTTCGACCCCCATACTCAAATCTGTTGCAAGGGATACGTCCGGCCACTTCTGGGGCCCTGGTACCTCAACAAGTGCTGCGGAACTTTGAACTACAACCGACAGACCCACTGGTGCTGTGAAGGCAAACTGAGAAGGTATTGTGAGATGGAAGCTGCATGGGGAGAGGGAGATCTAGGGGAAGTGTGGGCCTGTGTGGCGCAAAAATTTGAATGTGACAGAGCATCAGCCCCCCCCCCAAAAACCTATAGTTAAATATTGCATATTTTCTTTCAAATTGGGATCTACAAGATGATCAAACTACTATATTTATACTGTCAAACTTTCTCTGCAAATGAAAATCCTTTCCGTAAAACATGACATTATCAATATCTCATGATATATTTCTTTAGGAACGTTTTGGGTCGTGTGACGGCCAGACCAACGTGCTGTGGTCGAACGAGCTACAACCCCACCACCCACAGATGTTGCAAAGGGATCGTCACCCCGAGTAACGTTCCATACTACCTACCCAACTCGTGTTGTGGTCGCACATCCTACAACCCGTTCAGAAACACGTGTTGCGGGGGAAGAGTTCAATCCTTGGTTGGCGGGTTTCGGTATACGCAGTGTTGCGGAATACGGAGCATCAACACCAATGCGGCAAAATGTTGCGCGGGGAATGTAAGGTATACCTCTAAACCAAGCGTCGACAGATGTTGTGGGAAGACCCTGTACCACACCAACTACGCGAAATGTTGTGATCCACGAAGAGATGCCATAAGCTCAATCTGGCGGGATTGTCCAAATAGAAACGAAAAGATTCCGCTTACCGAAATTCGCTGAATGTTTGAATCATTGAAAACAATTATATCAACATTTATCGTGTATAACTAAGTGTAGATAATGTAGAACTCAGACACCAATACATTGATTGGAATCAACTCAAACACATTTCCAAAATCACTTTCCACTCGACATTTTTAGGAAAGTGCTCTTACCTATTACCCAGAATGGAGGCCTTTAACTTTAGTCAACGAAAATAACACACTCGCATATCTTGGGAAAATCAATTACGAAAATTAAGCATCCCTGATTACAGACACCCTATAGCATTAGTACGAACGAAAGTATGTTTATTTTGACATATAGTTATATAAAGCCGTGGTCTACGCGGTAAAAATTGATCAGGTTGTTACATCAGGGGCCAGTTGTATAAAACATATAAACTACATTTTTACATAATTAAATCATAGTTAACTCTGATATACACAACTTTGATTGGCCAATTCTGTCCTTGACTACAGTTAAAATTACCCAGTCTTTTAAACAACTGGCCACTGACGTGAACAATTTTGTGCTGCAACGGATGAACAGTATTGCCAACAGTACAATAGCACCAATGGTAAACAATTGGTAAACGCAATATTGTTCACCCTTGAGTTAAACAACTTGCATTAATATAATTTGTACGCGTGATATAATTATTATATATGCTATGCCTATATGTTCATTGCCAAAGGTATTGATTTTTAATATTTCCTGTTAATCAACAATGGATATTATTCGCAGGGGGAAATAACGATTCGCACGAATGATACGGGGGAGTTGCTGCTTCCACAGGTGTCTCTTGGGTCGCCTGTACCTCGCTCTTGCGTAGGCACAAGCGCGCCACGTGATTTTCACGTTTGATTTTGACCTCCAACGACTTCGGTACGTCTGGAACCAGCCAGGCGAGCAGGTCTTTGACAAAAAATACGATATACTGGAAAAATATGACGAAAAGTACGCGCGCTAATGTGACATGGAGGTATTGTTTGCTAAAATCGTATGAAGGGGCTGGCTCCAGATATTCTTTGAACCTAAAATAAAAACAGTCGTAGTTTATCCACCAACTAACATAGTTACCCATAGTTATCCATAAGCTAACATAGTTACCCATAAACTAACATAGTTATCCATAGTTATCCATAGTTATCCACCAACTAATATAGTTACCCATAGTTATCCATAAACTAACATAATTATCCATAAACTAACACAGTTATCCTTAGTTATCCATAGCTTTCCACCAACTTATATAGTTACCCATGGTTATCCACCAACTAACATAGTTATCCGCGAACAAACATATCGGGAATTTCTGTTCCCAGGGCCGATAGCTATCAGTGCCTCTGGTTACTCATAAACTGACAATGCCCCCCAAAATATGCCATGTCTATATTATTTTACGCGGTCAAAATGCAAAGGGCTGCCCGTAAATAGCTCAAAATTTTTTAGTAGAAGAAGAATTTGTCACCAGCGTGAAGGGGGACAAACATACCTGCAATATGTTCGAGTGAAATTAAGATGCTTGTTTGGGTCAGTCGGCAAAAATTCTTCTTCCAAATCACTGATATTGATATATGCTAGCGAGTTGTTGACATAACCTTTCAGAGTTCTGTCCGGACTGTAGCCGTACAAATACACCAGTCTGAATGAGAAATAGATCAAAGCGTGTGATGATATCCACTCGAAATCAACGATTTGGGCAGGAATTTAGTATTTGAGGAATCTTTCGTATTTCAGTATTTAGTACTGAGGAGCTGCAGCCCATAGTTTAGCTAATCCCAAGGTATTTCAGGCTGTTTTATAGTTTCCCCTAAGGCTAGCCAGGAGTTCTATGCTATATGGTTTAGCTCACTGGAGGAATCTCATGCAATACCTTAGCTATCCCAATCGAATTCCGGGCCTCTGTTTAGCTGCCTCTGAACAATTCAGGGGTTTCTCAAAAGAAGAACACCGGAAATTAAGTGGAATAGGCTATGAATAGGCCAATATCCATGAATTCTTTACCTTGGTACGAGCTCTGTGGTAAATGCGATGACGAATGAATTAACAAGCACGGATATTTTTGTCAAAATCTCAAGAATTCTGAACCAAATTCCGATATTTTTCACCTCTTCTGCAACCGGTCTGCGGTAGTTCACGGCGAAGTTCATGGCGTCAGCACGGAGTTCAAAAATGTTGTTTATCAGAGCAAAGAGTGGAGCCAGTGGGAATGACGCAACGAACATCGTTACGAAACCAAATTGGATGACTGGAAAGGAAATGAAAAGAAACGTAAGACTTTCTAATTTTCCTAAGAGACATTAAGGAGACAAAATAAGTTCTGGTCTTATTTGAAAACACAGTATAGGACCATCGACAAAATGTGTTGCAAATGCGAGGACATAGAATTAGTCAGTAACGTAAACTTTGATTTGCAGATGATTGGGTCGTGTCGCAGCTCCTCACAAGACAGATTTTCATTGGCTGAACTTTACAATACATTTCTGTTTCAACCAATAGCATAGCTTCGTTCTTTAGAAAGCATAGAAAAGCATTATCTAATTGGATGAAAGCTTCCGAGAGCTGCGACATGTCCTAGATGATTCAGTATAGATGTACCCATTCTGTTACAGGGCGGCCAGAGCTCTTCTGAAACATTGTATTTACTTAAACGTTACCATTTCATGCGCCTTGGTGCAGTGATAAAAACTCTTTATAAGAATCCCTGTTTCATCGTGAAATCATTTCCAACAATACAACAATACCAAGAACTTACCCATTTCAAGATATTCATAAAACATCCGAAAGTCCGGTTCAGGGTTGAGTAAATAGTCAGACTCCCATTGCGGTAACTTCTTATTCTCTTTCGTCGGCTTGTGGCGCCATTTGTTCCACGCGCGGACGGCGGACCTTGAATAAACAGTAATATGCATCTTCTGCATAGAACCGAGAAAAACATTATGCTTGAAGCCTGGTTTCCATTTAATCGTTATTGTCGTGAACACGTCATTTTCGCCGATGAGAAATAGTCCGGTTGTAAATTTGTCTTTATTTCCGTATTCAAATCGGTCATTGTTGACTGCACACAAAGAGAAATATTCTATCACATCAACCAGCTTGACATGTTCACGATACTTACGACGAAATGGAAACCAGGTTTTATGGCTGATTCATTACAGAAAATGACTTACGGATACATGAACTCCAGCGCAAAGCCCAAGATCTGTTTCCCAATCATAATAACCGCCAACTGGATGCACAGATCGGTCAAGCAACCGGAAGGATCACATCCCTCGATTCGTCTCCTCTGCATGCGATTGTACCCCGTTGGCCTTCCGATGATCAAACTGCTTTTGAAAAAGGCGATGTAGAAGAGCGATGAATACGTGTTAACAAACTCGAACACGTACATCTTGAACGTGAGCATGTTCTGGTATTCAGATTTCGTGCGCGGGTTTTCCCAGTTCGTGAGCATGACCGCGAGCTTCACGTACACGTAACTCAGGATCTTGATGAAAACCAGGTTCATGACGGCCGCGGAGAAGGACGTAACGAGTTTCGCATTTTGACGAACTTCGTTGCTGGGATTAGCATAAAGCGCGGCCAACGCGGACGCCCTGTAGGCGACGATGCCCGCAATTGAGGCGACGACGACGGAGCCCATGAAAAATATCACTCCTAGGCCACCCAGCGTCCGTTTTAACCGAGTCAAGCTCGGAATGTAGGGCTCCAACTTGTCCGTCACGGGATTGGGTCGTTTGTCGCGCACCGAGAAAAGGAACTGGGGCCGAGGTGGCTCGTATTCGTCCATAAGGTTGTACACGCCCCATTCGTAGCTGAGTCGTACTTGGGTTCGCTTCCAGTACTCTAGGAAAAGCGTCGCCCATATCGACATAAATACGGAAAAAAATACCGTCGCCTCGTTGTCGAATAGATGGCTGACCTTGGCAAAATCACAGCTGGTAGTTAGGCTCCAGAAGCTGCAGTGTTTGTCGCATTTCGGGCACATGTAGAACAACTTTTCGTTCTTTTTGTCGCAGATTTCTTTGGTCGGCTCGAACGTTTCCAGGCTCCCGAGGCCGTACAAAAAACACAGGACGCCCACGAACGCAGCTGGAACGAGCATCGCAATGTACACCCCCATCCAGGCGTAATAGAAACCGATTCTTCCGCCAAAATACCTTCGCACGGCGTTGATTGGCTGATACGCGAATATGCGTCGGAACGACGACCAATCAGTGCGCAGCCTTTGCCGATCGTTTGCCACGTGATCGCCCTTTTGAATCGACGGCCCGTCGTGCAACGGGAAACACGCGGTGTAGACTTCGTTGTCGCATAGACTCGAAATCCCATAGTCGTTATCCTTAGGACCGAATGACGTCAATTGGAGCATGCGGTACACCATGCGACAGCGGTCAGCGGTATCAAAAAACAATCTTCCGTTTTTCGACTGAAATGACAAGCGATTATTATAACTAAAGGTGGCAGTGACAAGTTTCTCCATCGGTTGGATACATGGAGATTTGTTTACGAAGGGATCGACCTTTTTCCACCAGCGTAGGAATCGATGATAAATGTTCGGTCTCTTCATCTTTTTCGGCGATAAATCTGGCGAATCATCGCTTTTTTTGACGGGCATTCGTATCATAAGTTCCTCAGCAAGTTTAAATAAAATTTTCAGCGGTGCGTGGACTTTGACGAAATGAAGGTTTTCATCCTAAAATATAACGGAAATATATAATTTTAAAATTCACTTCTAAACTGTTCTTCCAGAGCTCCAGGAGGAAATCTATAAACTAAACCAACTTTATTTATCAAATTCGAACAGTTCTTCCTAGAGGTCCAGTAAGGATCATGTCTTATTGATCCAGTGTTACTACAGGAGGATTGAGGAAACCTAAACTAAACTAACTTTATTTATACTGGATTGCTCTATCAGTTCTAAACTGTTCTTCCTAGAGGTCCAGTAAGGATCAACTCTTATTGACCCAGTGTTACTACAGGAGGAAACCTAAACTAAACTAACTTTATTTATACTGGAATATGAATAGAATACGTAATAGCTATAATTAAACATACAAATATTGCATTGCTATAATTATCCAATGTTTAGCATACCAGTTCGTTTGAATTATCAACGTAATTATAATAAATTGTAACGGTTAAAAGTAACAATAAAAATTTAATTTCTTTTTGTTTGTGACTGCGTTCACATGCACAATACCGGATCGGATCTGCTTGTCAGGACATCTTCGTTTGCCGTCACAAAGCAACCGTTATTAGCAAATGCTTATGAATTTGAAAGATTTAGTTTATTTATTCTGGTCTCGAACCTTAAAGATCTCCACTGTCTTTTATTGACTTCGCAATTTGACCTGCTTCGCTTGCATTCTTGCAATAATCTGGTACCGTGCGAAACGGGGGTTATGTTTATATTATTGCCGCGTGGAGAAGCGGTCATCAATGTTTCATGAATCACAGGTGGTGTGCTTTTGACATTTCAAGTACCACTTAATACATTGTTGATGTATTTCAATGATTCAAACAATCGCACGTATTCGATATCTTAGTTTATATTTACAATAATCGCAAATATTTAGCGAAGATTGTATAAATATACCACCAAAGTCAAAGCCAAAGGCAGGCGATACGCAGATTTCGCCCAGACTAAACAATATTTTGAGACAATCCTTAAACAAGGACGTCTTTCAAACAAAACTTTCATAAACTAAAAAGCCAATGCTAGAAAGGGTGCAACTCGCAAGCCGGTAATGCCATACAAAAACCAAAATATACAGTACTATATTTCCTGACGCACACAGCGTATATCGCGAGTTATTACCGAAATCTTTTATGTATCGCATTTTTTCAGCCTCTCCCCTAGTGAGACTTCCGTATTCATGTATTTGGGAAGCGACAGGGCACGGTGAGAATAAAATATCAGGAGTTTAATATTTTATTAGATGAAAATTCTTCCCGAGCGTAAGATCCGTGTCGCTTCTGAGTGTGATGAGAAAATAGTTTTTCCTTAACGCAACTTTACACCTAAGGAAGGCCAGCACTTAAAAAATTTACACCAGTAATTTTCATCATAAACTTGAGACATATTCAAAAGCTAGACACAAGAATTAATTCCCATACACGACAAATCCTAAACACCTAAAACCGCACTTTTCACGAACGTTTCCAGGAACTGCTCGCATACATTCGCACCATGTGCGTAGGAACGAAGAGTCCACCCCTTCATGCACAGAACCTTTGATATCAAAAGTCTACTTTGAAATTGTTTACAATCCGTTTGAATATCACAAGCTAAATATTCCCCGGCTTCTACTGATCTCATGATACATGATACCAACCAGGAGTGAAGGCTCTTCCTCCAATTCCAAGCCATGTTGCCTGACAAGATTTTTCTGATATTCCCTACGCGTCTCCGCATTTGGATCGACTCCGTCGTCGCCTCGACTGGTTTGATAAACCAAAACAAAGTCGATTTTTCTTTGTCCATCGCCAAAGAACAAAGTCTCGGGATAAGGAGATTGTTTTTGACCCGAGTCTTGTACGAGCAATTCGATATTTTCAATCCTTGAATCCCGACCATTTTCCTTGTCGATCAGGCCGTCTGATGATGCCCACATTTTGCCTCCAGGAACGCCAGTTTGATGAACTTTTGCACTGGCAGCACGCGATGCTTCGTCGCCCAACGGCTTAATTCCGGCGGAAGTCGGGTTGTTGTCCATGTATTAAATATATATAATTTAATCTGAAAGAACGTGGGAATGTATTAATTATTCATGGCAGAATTAGAATCCGTGCAGTGAATGCAGTGTTCTAAAATGCATGGATTGAAAGCAATTTTAATTATTTATCAAACTCGTGTAGCATAAATTACCCATATACCTTCTTCCTAAGTTTCTAAAAACCGCTTTGAAAGTTTTTGAATACTTGATTTGGTCTATGCTCGCATCATAGACTACATCCTTCATTTATATAAACCGTGATTATTTCAATAAGCGCCGCCCTCGAATACACGCCGCATCCAAAGTGTCGAAAATTTAATAAACGCGGCAACGTTTATTCTAATAATAATAATTACATTAGTCCACCTTGAACTGATTCAAAACTTTCAAGAATAAATTCGTTCTCAAGATTTAACATACACTACACACATCAACAACCAGTCAACTTTCTCAATCCCTTGTGCAAGACACTCTTGTTTAATATACAAATTTATATGTTTATACAAAGCGGGTTCCTCCCTTACTTCATGTTGTATTCGGTAAAACGATAAACGCACATTAAGAACCCGAAAAGTACGAGGCTTAGCTCGATTGGTTTGGCTTACCTTTCACAATATACAGACTAAGGTCTCAGACGTTTCAAGGTTTACATCCTGTTTATATTGCTTATTTTACTTGAGGATTATAGTTCGCAATTGTCAAAAAGATCCGTCCAAACAGGAATATAGCCATTTAATCATAGTTATTCTTCTATTTAACCGTAATTAAGTGAAGCATGTGATAGGTTTTGACACGATTGAAGACGCGTTTCTATAAATGTACCTTTGAATCATGCACTCTTGAGCTACGACGGAAAATGCATCATGATCATGAGCAATATTTTTGACTTGTATGTGACAGGTATACGTGTACTACATAAGATACCGTCAGCTATAATATTGGCCCATTTGTCCAGAAAGTATGAATTGTCGTCGGAATCGTAGCCTATTGGAATCGCCAATAGCGCTTTGAACCAAAAATGGTGTTGAATACTCCGAGAATACATGATATTTTTCATGTTATCAGTTTGATGAATTCGTATAGAGCAGTTCAAAGCCAGGCATAAAATACAAAGGTTTGCAGTGAACCTATACTGCAAGCGCTTCTTAGAAAACCACATGGACTTCCGGTAGCAGTCATTGCTACAAATTAGCCACACGAAACACTATTTAAATCGAATTAAATAGATTAAAATACTACTTTTTAAATGAACCATGCTTCAAACAGAAGATGTCCCATTGCCAAACGAGCTATGAAGTGTATATCTAGTTTTCCTCCGTACCTTTCACTTTTAAAACATAACTGACTGGTCCTACTATAATCACGACCGACAAAACTTGGAAAATCGTACATGCTGTCAAAGTTGCCCAGGGGTCAGTTGTACAGAAGACTAGTTAACTTTTAACTGTAGTTAAGGACAGAATTGGCCAATCAGAGTCGTGTAAGTTAACTAGGCTTTAACTATGCAAAATTAAGTTAAAGACTTTTATACAACCGGCCCCAGTTAAATCGTGAATAACCCTGAATGTGTGAATGAACATTGGGGGACATATCCCTATCGGCATGCACACAACAGTTTACCCCTCTTTAACCCATTGCCTCCCTCACTTAGGCACCATGAAACCTCAAGTTTGCAAAGGTTGTTATGAAATGAATCCGGCAGCTGTAATTTACGGAAAAAAAAGCTCTGAATTTGAAATCGTTTACCTGAACAATGCCAAAGTGACCTCATCAAGACCACTCCCTAAACGCAATATTTCCACTGCCAAAACTCTGGGCGAACTTGACTCGTGTATATGGCTTGAAACCTAAATGGTTAATGACATGCAATGACAATAATGATAGTGTTCATAATATACTTTAATATACCGATAGCTCACATGCAAATGCGCTTTTAATAAACATGCGATGTTCGATTTTGTCCGAAGTATTAACTGAGGTTGAACGAGAGTTCCCGGCTTTCCGCCAATTCTAGACAAAATTCCGCCATTTAAAGTGTTTGTCGTTGTATTTTAACAATAACAGTGAAAAGCCATTCCCTACGTTAGTTATGCGATATGACACAATATCTAACGTGATATTTTTGACAAGCTCATTTCAAAATTCGCAGACGAGCCAATGACTTCGAAACAAAACCACCTTAAGTATCGTGTCTCGTATTGTATCAATTCATCGATACAGCATGGCGTACAAGAAATTGATATCAATTTGCGCTATCAATGTATCAAATCAGGCTTGTCTGCATGGACAATGTCGCCAGCTGTGAAATTAATAATATTTCATCATATAGAATGGTAAAATAGCCCCTCTGGCTGCTTTCCACTGTCGCGTTTTTTGCACGTTCGTACACCCACTAAAAACCCTCTAAGTTGTTGTATAATCAACTTTTTGCCAGAAAAAAACACAGCAAATCATCAACAGAACCAACCCTATGCATCTATTCAATCGTTGATTTCATATCGAAGTAGCATTTACATTATTTTAAACCTGGAAGCGGCCCAAAGAATGATTTATAACATATAGAAAAGCAAAGCTTGTCGACACGGTTGGATAAACACTTTAAAAATCAACGCGCGAGCATATTGAAGTACAAAAAAATACAAGGTGCTTGATAAAGCTGTGAACGAAATGTATTGTATTTAGAGCTATGCGCGACCCACAACCCGCGTTCGCAAGCTAAAGACCAAAGCAGAAATATATCATTTAGGCCGTCCACTTACCCAACAGTAGGCTATTTGAAAGAAGTTCTACTCAATCCTTGTGTCAACTTTCTCCAGAAGAGAACAATATTTCTTCCCGCTTCGGCCCGAAGCATCGTCTCAGTTGTAAACACATTTGAAGCGATCTTGTGGTGTAGCTTATGTCATGAAATGTGATCTACTTAGCGGCGGTATTGTCTTGATTGAAACGCCACTTTCCCAACGGGAATCTTTCAACAAGTGCTGGAAAACTTCACGGCGGCAGTTCACATTGCCTTGTATACAACAGCGAACATTTTTTGCTCCAAAATCGTCTATAAAAACACTTGCAAGTGCGCTTAATTTGGAAATTTAATATAGTGGGTGTCGTTATTAGAAATCAATGATTAGTTAGGCGGCAAAATTCATAAATATTTTAACTTATTTATTATGTTCCTTAATTCAAAAAACATAAACCCACTCGATAATATCAAAGAAGTCATGTGTTGATGATATGCAGGATTCGCTCTCACGGCATCCATGGCCGGGCCAATCGAGCTAAACACGTCTAAAACGCTATAATTTTGCATTGCCCTTGGGAAATAGATGCGATATCCCAGAAAGCACTTGCTAAGATTCATAAAACGGACAATTAATCGCAGAATGTTAGAAGATGCGGAGTTTTGATGCGGAGAATATGGTTTGTTTGAACGGTCAAGTGTGTAACTAAATTATTAGTCTGCTTTCCGCAATTAAATACAAAAGCATACAAAATATTTTCCTCATTTTACAAAATTTCCCAACTTAACTTTGCTTTTGTATCAATTTTAGTACGTCTTACAGCTTTGTAATGCAATTCCCGGGATATTTCCTATATTTCTCACCTGAGGATTAAAATATCTGGATCTTATAAATATTGGATTGCAATCCATTACAAAGGCGTTTATTGGAAGAGTTCCTTCTGTGCTGAATTAATTTGCCCTCGTTTTTGGGGTGGTAAAACATTTCTGGAATTCGAAATGAAAATTACCTATAGGAAATGCCACATCGTTTACGACGAATCGAATAGAACGTCAGGGCTCAGGCAACCTCGTTCCCAGGGCGTTTCCCTTCAAAAAGGGAAAAAACTTCACCACTCTATACTGATTGTTAACAATTCAATATTTCGATATCAACTTTCGATATTACATCAGCCCTGCAAAGGCTTTACTGCCACACTGACACTTATGCAGATTTTCCGTCATGCATATGGTGCAATTGGTGTTGTTACCACAAAGCCAGGATTATGGTATTATTATCACAATATTCTTGGATATAAAGTGGATATAATTATATACAAAGTGTCCCACTGTCTCAAGCATCGGACATTTCAAATTTTCTAAACGGTATTATACTCAAAACTATTGAAAGAATCATCGTCGTTGATATCACCGCCTATATCCAACATGGGTGAAGGCAGGTCGGTGGAAAATGACATATTGTTTAAAAGATTGAACTGTGACGATGGCGACTCATCGTTCTCTAAGGAGTCGGTCCTAGGCTCTTCCATCGGTACGCAGCCTACGGGGCTTGGGGATGACTTTGTCAGCTCGACGGGTTTCGGTGGGGCTGTGGCGGCCGCCTTCTTTGTTTTTTGTTTTTTAGTTTTAAGAATTCTCGTTGGTTCTTTAGGTGTTTTCTCTTTCGCATATTGTTTCATTTCCTTATCGTAACGTGCTTTATCTTTTTCGTACATCTTATAGTAAACCTAAAATTTGAAAAATGGTCAAAATGCAAAGTCATTAACAGACTAGCCAAAAAACTTCTTGATAAATTTAAAAATATCTTTGTATGTGCACCCCCCCCCGGCTGCTCGTTGTTCAAATTCTGATTTACTAAGAATGAGGATGTGCAGCACGGGGGGGGGGACGGGTGATCACATTTAATTTGGGTATCTGTACAAATTTTAGTATAATCAAAGAAAGTAGGAACCCAATCATGATTATTCTGGTCAACTTGGAAGTATGGAATCTTAACTGAGGCTGGGACAAATCTTTGTAAATCATAGTAAAACAAATCTTAAATATCATCAAATTTCACAATTTGACCCCACCCTATGACCAGGGGCTGGCCTGCAACACCCCCTCTCCAAAACACCAAACTGAATCTATCTCTATGCGTATTTTAAAGAAATCTGACCTTCTTTCCCTCTGCCCCTAAAGTGTTCCATTCTTTCGCGAGATGTTTCGTCAACTCGTGGTGTCCAACAGTTGGATCTTTCTGATCATCGTGCATGGAATTTCTTTGTTGTTGACAAAACATGAAAAAAGCATTGGCTGGTTTCTTCGGCGCGTCAGGATCCAGCTTGTGATGTGCACGTCTCGTACCTTTTTTTGTCAACGCGGCAGATTTTGTGAGCTGGGAGCGATTGTCTTCGTAAGGTGCGTTTATTTCCGCGAGCATTTGGGCCTGGAACGAGGAAGAGGTCATTGAACTATATAGGAAAACTGGAGGGCTAACTCAGACAAAGGCGGGGAATGAAAGCAAATTGAGTTTTTCTAAGTTATGGACAAAAGTTGTCATATTATTATAATAAATTAATTTGGTATAATTAAACTAATTAAATAATAATTAATTATTACACTAAAGTAATTAATTAATTAACAAAGGACATTGTGCTTAATATGAAATGAAGGTTAAAGTTGGAAATTTCCATGAATGCATCTCTGAGCTGAACTGAAGATGAGTTTTAAAATTTAAATTAAGGTCAAAAGCCAGTGTAAAGAGTCAAACTCAAAGCTAACTCACCGTGTATAAAGATTGTGCCTTTTCGTAGTCAACGCCATATGCTTCACATTTCTTTAAAAGGTAGCTAATTACAATTAAAGAAAGAGCGCTGGAATTTTTCCATGAAATGAAGAGGAATGTATAAAGACAGATGTAGCCACATTTGTTGACAATTTTGAGTCTATTTTTCACAGTATAAAATAGTTTATGCTATAGAGTATTGAATTTTGCTGCCTTTGAGCTCTGTATGCTTTTTTTTCAACAAGATCTGAGATGCAGGAGATATCTAAGATAAAAGTGTGCTAGCTTAGTGCAGGTGTTGGGGATTTAATTTGATTCGCACAAAGAACAAAAAGCAGTGTATATGCAGATACCATGCAAGGAAAATTTTGACATGTTCAAGAAAGGTTCGATGTAAAATGGAGGCCCTCATTGTTAGTGGAAATAGAAGAACATAGGAATCTAGGCCACCATTTCTGCAAGATGACAATTAAGTACATTTGATGTAATTAAATCAATGAGACAGAGTTAAAAAAAATTAACAGAAAAATTTCTGATTTAGGAAAAAAGTTCTTGATTGCATATTGGTTGACAAAATTGCAATCTACAACCGCCATTTTGCTTTTCTTTCTTAGTTGGCACAAACAGGCCATTGGAAAATTTACATCATTATTTCTTCACAATTAAAATCAAATTGACGGAACTCAGGCATCTTACGCCTTTGTGCATTTAGCCACCCTCATATCAGAACCACCCAATAAAATGGTGCATTTAGCTACCCTCATATCAGAACCACCCACCAAATGAGAATACAAAATGCATTAATTGTGCACAAAAAATGTGGTGTGTAAGTACAGATGACACCAAAAGTTATATTACTTAATAATATAACCAGGGAGCAGCGTGGCAGCGTCTTCGTCAGACTCTCCTGACGAAGGCCCTCAGGTTCAGGTTGACACGTCGAGAAGTGTTTTGTCTATTTTAGGCACTTGTTGTACCACATTTGATTCTTACTTAAAAATATCTAAACCCACACACATTTATTATAAGCCTGTCAACCAAATTTCTCCTATTCCCTCTTTCATGCAACAATGGGTGAAATGTTGAAACAGCACTCTGGAGTCAATTTTAATCAGACTGGCTATAACAAGTAGTTGACTAATGCATGATTGCTTCATTCTTTGCCTCAACATCACTCTCTGTGCATGTCACTGTGTCCTTAACTCAAAGCGTCCAGGGACGAGGTGTCAAAGTTGAGGGAGTTCGAAATCCAGATTTAATTCTTTGAGGTAAACCTGGTGGTGCCTAGTAAAATGGGCTCTCTTATCTTAGTTATTCACTGCAAGAAATGACAATCTCCCAGATTAATGTTGATGAAATGACAATCTCCCAGATTATTGAGATTAACGTTCATCAGGGAACAGATTTCTACCACCCTAAACTTTGGGATGCATTCTGTCTGTCCCCCTTGTAACTAAATACCTTCTCTCGCTTCTAGACCTCTTTAAATGCTTTCGAACATGATAGATTCTATTCACAATTTTCTGATTCTCCTAGAGAAAAAAAATTTTCCAAAACCAAAATTACAAACTTGAATATAAAAAATGTTCGTAGCATTAACGATAAATAGCTGCATAATCACATCTCTAGGGATGAATATCCTGCTAAGAAGCAAATAAATAACGCAGACTTACCAATTCGACGTGTTTTACACGACTTTCGAGCGTCAGAAACTTTCTCTTCCAAATATTATCAGTATTTTCGTCCGCCATGTTGAGAGAAAATATTTTAAAAGACTGGGCGCTAATTAGATGCACAGCGTTCCCAAGCCAACTCTTGAGAATAAAAACAAATTTGAAACTAAATGGATTTATAATTCTCATTATTTTTACTATTCCTATGCATAATGTATCGTATATAACGTGATTTTTAGTCAGATTATATGAACCAGTATTACCAAAAGATTTAGTAGTGTTCTTCAAAGGATAAAGGGAAACGAAAGCAATTCTATTAAATCTAATAAATGTATTTCAAAAGAATATCACATTTTGTCTTTGAGTTCTCAGCATAAGATCCCTAATTCGACGGTTTTTGACATAAATTGCCATATAAATTGCAACATGAAACATAGGCTTGATACGACCTTTTTTATACCGTAATTTTCAATAGCTAGTGTCTACGATCATACCACCAGTAAAATTCCGGTTCTCGTTCGATCACCGAAGACAAGCCTGGTCGGGCGAAGTTAGTACTTGGATGGGTGACCGCCTGGGAATACTTCGTGTTGTAGACTTTTTAATTTTTTAAGTCCAGTAAACCGCAGTTCCAAAAGAAACAAGTTTCTTCTTCTGTAATCTGTATTAACCAAAAGGTAGAAATGGACAAAATTACTATTCTATTATAAAATACTTTGAGTTTAAGCAACAACAATATTTTCCCCTGAAACAACGCTTTGATTGTGAAGAAAAGGCTAGTTCCTAACAACTATGACTACTTCAGCTATTCTCATTCTACACAGACTACGTAGTCAAAGGATAAAGGGAAACGAAAGCAATTCTATTAAATCTAATAAAAGTATTTCAAAAGAACATCACATTTTGTCTTTGAGTTTTCAGCATAACATTCCTAATTCGACGGTTTTTGACATAAATTGCCATATAAATTGCAACATCAAACATAGGCTTGATACAACCTTTTTATACCGTAATTTTCAAAATCTAATGTCTACGACCATACCACCAGTAGGATTCCGGTTCTCGTTCGATCACCGAAGACAAGCCTGGTCGGGCGAAGTTAGTACTTGGATGGGTGACCGCCTGGGAATACTTCGTGTTGTAGACTTTTTAATTTTTTTAAGTCCAGTAAACCTCGGTCCCAAAAGAAACAAGTTTCTTCTTCTGTATTAACCAAAAGGTAGAAATGCACAAAATTACTATTTTATAACAATTGCTCGAAATCCCTGGGCAGAAAAGCTTGCCAGATAGACTAGACTGTCAGTCTCTGTCTCTCTGACAGGCAGTAACAGATTTTTACTATGTTTATTTTTCTTTATAATGTCATTAATGTGCCCTATTTTTGAGCTTCAGAAGTCTCAGTACAAAAATATTCAACTAGAGATGTCAAAATAATGGAACCACGAATTTTGCATTTTCCAATACAATTCTATAACAATCCATGGGAATTCCGAATTTTGGGGAATTCTAGAACACATTTGTCCCGCGAGATTTATGGGCGTTTTGAAATATCCACGAAAAAGTCTCGCATCGTTTAAAGCAACAACAATATTTTCCCGATATCTAAAGCCAATTTTGGTTAATTTATCACTGAAACAACGCTTTGATTCCGAAGAAAAGACTAACTCCTTACAACTATGAGTACTTCAGCTATTCTCATTCTACACAGACTACGACGTTCTCGGCTACCGTTTCTACCGACGGCTCAACAAGTTGTGTCTTCTAGTGGCGCGTTCAATTCTTTTCCTCAACGAGTTTCTTTGGGTCTATTGAAAGTTTGCGCCATAACCGTGCCAACAGTTTACATTGGGGCAGAATTGGCCAGGATGTCGGCCACTTTCCTTGAAGATTGGAATATATTTGTACCAGATGATGATGACGATTAGAATATATTGGAATAGTCTTTGAATTGTTCTAATTGGGATTTGGTAAATATTTAATTATTGAAGTATTTATTGAAGTGGAGTGGATGATTAGGGTCATTCGGGGATTCTTAACTAGACTATTAAGGGTTCATTACCTGTCTTAATGATCAGGACTCCTTTGCGATTACATGAACAACCCCAGTACTGGTATATATTGCTGGATTAACTTGATCGCCACCCATCTGATTTCTCTTTTTCATCTAATCAAAATACTCAATTAGACGGAAGCATTTTGTTTTGTGATGACTGAAAAAAAGGCTCAATTAAACTTCTTAAGCAGTCATCTCTGCCTAGGGGTGAATTTGCTTCTGTGATGTAATATCTAATAGCCAAAAAAAAGTTATTTTGAATCCAAACATTAAGACTAAAAATTGGCTCTCCTTATTATAACCGTAATAAGCCAACCACATGGCCATGGCTAGGACACTGCAAGTCCAAAGTTGAACTTGGACACTTTACCCAAACTGAATATAAGTGTGTGAGGGGTGAGGAATGTATCAAAACAAAAGAAACAGTGTAATCAAATATTAAATTTTGCTAGATTTTAAGGTTACTTAGGTTGAGGTTTGAAAGTGTTAAAAGTGTTACCAGTATGTAATGGCACAACTTATGTTCCACATGCATTAAAACATAACTATGGCATTTTTTGTTTTTTCCAGGGACTTATTCTCAAATCCAATGTTTGGACAAGTTGTGGTTTAATTTATGGAACATGAACTATTGAAAACTATATTTTTTATACTTTGAATTCAGAGTGTGTTGAGTTCATGTAAATACTAGAATGGTAATGTGTATATTGGATTATTGGAAGTAAAATGCATCATTATAGGAAGAGATTTTGTACTTTGTTGATTTTTGTGGATTAATGCTTGTAAAATGTGGAATAACCAGCAAAAGATGAACTAATATCATCAACTTGCCATGCCAGACTCCCAAAGCAAGGTACTTCATTGATAGAGAATAAAGGAGGGGTTAAAAGAAAAGTAATGGTTTGGTCAGTCCCATCCCATTGTTCAACTTTAGTTTATTCTGATGGTGGTTGAAACGAGTTGAAGCGCGCGAAAAATGAGGAAGCAATTTTTCCAGTTTTTCATAATGCAACTCTGAACATTCTTTGTTTTCACTGATCTATATTAACTGATGATGCACTGAATGCGGATTGAGAGATTAGACATGAGAGTGATGAGACCACTGATGAGACCATATAATGGTTGTGAAAACAAGTTCTACCAGGAAATGCTATATTTTCGAAGAGCATCGCACCACCTTTACTCAAATTTTAATCTCTAGGCGCTTCACGTCTGGGCATGTATAAGATCATGTTTCATGATACACAACCTCCTTCCTTAGACGAGGACAGATATTTACAATTTCCCAATAAAAACAATACCCATTAGTATCATTAGGATAAAAAACTAACATTCTAAAAACTTCGAATGGCCTTAAAACTCGCAGATTTCGAACAGATTATAATTTGACATCCGATTTTAACCAATAACTCGGTGTTTTCATGCGTAAATCGGTAAACGTGATATTTAATTTTATAACCGACCGGAAAGCTCTTGTCATAACAAAGCACCCTGCTGTGCATAACCTTAGCCAGTTGGATTCAATTTTGCCAAACAGCCAAAAAGCACTCGTCAAATATCAAAACTCCCCGCCGGTTTGTATGTACTAAATTACTATAGTCAGTCCAGTTTAAATGATAATCGAATTTGGCACGTCGCCACAAGTTGAGTTCGTGAAAACATTTAAACACCGTCTTTTTGATAAACCTTGAACGAAAGCACTTTAATCTGGGTAAATATTTGCCAACACGAGCATGTGTTCTAATTGGAATTCCTTCGGTTTTGGGTTTATATTTTATTGAAAGTCTTGAAACTGGAATCCAGATTATAAACTCATAATAAAACTCTGGATTTTGTGTTAATCCGAATACACCGTATCCTGAGAGAATGACTATTTCTAGATGGAATTTGATAAATACACGTGAATGCTGAAAAAATTCACACCTGTGCATTGCTTGGCTTATGTAACCGAATAGCTTGAATACCATAGCAAATGTTGCATAATATTAATTTACATTTATTTATGAAAATAAACAAACTTTGTACTGTGTACAAAAGTACATACTCCGATTATTATTCAGTGTATTGTTAAAAACACCAGCTTCCCGCCATTTTGAAGTTACGGCATACAAAATAATTCACGACGGTTTATTTTTTGCAACATATACAAATATCAGACCGTTCCTAAATGTTTACCAAATCTTCCGGCAAAAAAGGCACCAATAGACTCATTAGATGGTGGTAGAAATACAGTTTATTCATTTTATTTTTTTCCTCCTGTTACAACCATTTCAAGAGTTATTTCTGGTGAATTTTTCAAAGCAAATCTACTATAAAGAAAACAACAACAAATATATTTAAATGTTATGCCCTAAGGATTGCCAAGAGCGAAGCATTCTCGAACGTCCGCCTGTCTCGATGGGTTTCCTGTTTTCTGCCGTTAATGCGAGCACGACTGACAACTATTAAATAGAGCCACTGCAGTTACAGTTTAGACATACTAGAAATTATATATGGTACAAGCAGACGTCAGTCCGCAGCAGAATATCAAAATACACAACGTTGAATTGTGGTGTTCGCAAAACTTTCGTTGCAAACAACTCGTGGGTGTCATAAGTATTAAAGTAACGACAAACCTCACCCAGTGTGCTACAATTTTAAATGTCTGAAAATGTCAATGTTTTTTTACAATCTTTCATATAAACTACTGTCTACACCAAACGTTTAAATGTTCCTTAAATAAATATCGACAACAATTCCATTTTCTTCGAATGACTGTGCGTTTCCCGTAGAATGTCACATGCTAGGACTTCCTTTAAAATGGAAGACCTCGCTTCCAAATTGCCAATGTTTTGTGATTATTTTTGAAGCGATTGCTGTCCTATACGAGTATACTACAACCAATTAAATACGTAGTTTCTTTTGAAACAATCGCCAGCTACCTACGTACTCCTCCTAGCTACCCAATGTTTACGTTTCGTCAATTTCACTACATATCAGACTTCGTTTCGTTTTCCTTCATATTTCATGTCCGAAGACACTTGTCGATTCTTTTTTATTCTTTTACGGTTAAATTACTTGATCACGGTGCATTACAAGATCAATTTTATATGAAATCATCGTGTTTTTAATCGGTTTTCTTCGACACAACCTTGCCCGCCAGCGAACAAGGTGTCCACTACAACTATGATACAAACGTATATATACGCGGTAGCGTGGTCAATGACAATGGTGGCATCATCTTACAACTTGTTGGCTATTTTTCGAGCTGTTTTCCGACGCAGATAGTCTCTGAAAGGCTAGCAGTGCTTCAGGAAAGTTCGGCGGTGTAGCTGGGGTATTCGCCGGCGTCACAAGCTGTGAAAATATCGAGATAGTGAAAAGAAAACATTTAGCGTCACGACAACAAACGTGCGTAAGAACCAAACACACTACAAAACGTGCCCGAATAAGTTGAAAATTATACTAACCGAATGCTGTGAATGACAGGGAATCGCTGCTTCTTGAAAGAACAGGCTTAAAGCGGTCTACAAGGGACGAATAAGATGTGTAAAAACTGGCGGGAATCGGATAATAACACAAGGAAATGAATTACAACAGACATCATGGCCGGACAAAAACAAACACATTCGCTCACCTCGAATTGCCAATTTCCCGCTTGTAAAAGCATTTTCGCTTGATCAACGGCGCATCCTGCGACGTTTACGAACTGATTTATCATAGCTTGTTGTCGAAGGGCATCCATTTTGTCGGCAGAAAGAGAAAATGAAGGTTTTCACACAGGAATTACAAGCCGTGAATTCGCCGCGACACAGTAACACGCTGCCTGAATAGCACAAAAACAATGACGTCAAGATTTTTTGTTTAGCTAGCAAACGCCTGACAAAAACAAACGCGCTGATTGGTCAGAGAAGCGTTTAAACAGGCCAAGGGCATCGCGATTAACCAATCAAATGCCCGGATACTGTTGATACGCGATAATTTATTCCAAATGCGCGAAAATGAACTATTTCACAATACACTGCAGGTGATCATACACGTCGTAAACGACGTAGTAATTTTAGCGATAGATATTGTTACTCAATGGCCAACATGGCAACCCAGTAACAAGTAAAAATATTGGAATTTCAAGCCTTAAAAGTACACTACTTTCAAAGGGATATAAACATCTGTATGAAATATATACGGCAAAGCGTATAGAATTTCGCAAAGCTCCCAAAACCCTGACTTTTGCTTTCAATACAGATGACAAATAAAAATTCTTTGTATCGTAAATTAACATAAATATCAATTTTCACGCGTGTATGGCGCGCGTGGACTATATTTGGCGGGAAAACGTAGTATTCGCGGATTGTAAATTGCAAAAAGAAAACAAACTCATTCTTTCTCGAAATATCTTGAATGATGCGGCCACGAAAGCAGAAACATCCTAAATACAAAGCGTATTTTGATCATCAGCAACGAATAATGCAAGAAAGGTTTCCATTTTTGAGCATTCGGCAAATAAAAGCGAAAATTTTGTCATCTTGGCAAAGCTTTTCGCCTGAAAAGAAGGATGATTGGGGCAATAAAGGTTGGTGAGAATGTATTGTATATATTTACAAAAACATTCAAGGCTTGAACTGTTTCACTGACACGTTTACAGTTAAGGGTAGTCTTCTTAGCGACTCACGGTCAATCAAAACTTTTGCCTTGCATCGATTAAATGCTCATGTTTGCAAACTCAAAATGAGATTTTGTAGTATATCAAAATTATACTTGTCTTTTTCAAAATGAGTTCAGTCTTTATCAAAATGAGTTCAGAATACAGAAACTAGGGCAATGTTATACATGCACATCGATTTTTTTATAAACTTTTCCAACGAAACCAAACACAACGTAACATTGAATTTCATTTCAAACACTTCTTTTCTGTTTTGAAAGGTAACTCTTCACAAGGTAGTGATGGAACAGGGGTTAGCCCCTCTGAAAGAACACCTCAACGCTCCACCTCAAAGTACGGCTCCCGTAATCTGACACCCCCTCGTCCCAAATACAGTCCCGAGAAGGTGCGGTTCTCAAAACCTCCTTCGGACATTTCGGGCGCCTCGGAATCACCCGTAACGATGACGGAGTATTCCGAATCATCTACAGAAAATTCCCAGAATTCTTTGCCCGAACTCGGTGCGTGGCAAATTTCGGAGGAATTCAATCTAATCTCAAAACACAAGCTTGTCGTGGAGCAGAGAACACGTGACAAGGAGAGCCAATCACCACAAGATGAAGAAACGTCTCCTGGGGACACGGGTGTATGGCCGGCACTCTTTGGGGATAGTACGTCTATCTTCAACGCCAACAAAAACGAAATTGACACAGAAAAGGTGATGACGTTTACCCGTGGGTGGTGAAGCTCTTTTACGCATGCGCACTGAGAGCGCGTGACTGGATGTCAAATTCACGTGAACCCTGTATGCCACCTGGGCCAGGAATATTATTTCTTAATCCTGTTGAAATGAACAGCTCAATTTTTTTTAACTTTAAGGAAATTATGACATTCCTCTAATGTTAGGAATACCTTTGTATAATTTTAGGAACAGCCCATGTGCGGCTTATTTGAGAAGGCCGAGCGAAAGCATTTCTCACAACGCAGGTACGAGCAAAATATACACAAGCATCAGCCATTCAACCTCTACTGAACTGAGAAACCGTACCAACAATCAAGGGGGAAAATAGTTGGAATAGATTGTTGAATATAATAATCTTTGTTATGTTACGGCCGAAGCGATCCAAACAGTCTCTTCATTTCAGATCTCTTGATAAGGTATCTTTTTATTTCAGAATTCTCGCTGGACTCAGTCCATCGGAGGTGAAAGCGAGCAGAGATATATTCGAAGGCGATGATGCCGAGGATATATTTGCCTAATGCACAATATGTGACCTAGTTTATTTTGTGTTTGTAATAGAGCTGTTTTAATCAATGTAAACAAAAAAATCTTCGTTGACAAATAGTACATTGGTTAGAAAATTAAAGAGATTTTCCGAGATCTATGCATTGCACTATGAATTATCTATATACTAAACCCACCATGGTGAACTTTGCGAATCAAAACATTTTTTTCCAAATCAGTCCTTGGCATAATTACTTTACAAGACAAAATATATAATGAGTGAGTGTTTATAAAACATGGGCGGATATCACTGTATCATAATTAAAGGAAATGGGATCTTTTTTACAATAATTGCTATATTGTGCTATAGGGGAATTGAGTATGGACCAAAACTGTCATTGAACAGTTCTTCTAAATACTTTCCACAGACGTTAGAGAGGGGATTACAGACAACCCGAATACGACAATGTACCACATCCTGGTGACTTTTTTCCCAAACCTTTTCCACGCACTCAAATTCAGCCTCAATTCTCGAGCGTGTTTAAGCTGTTGTTTGTTGCGTGCGGTAATAGGTTCCTGGAGTGTTGTCAAGATTCTATCGCAGTTCAAGGGAAGCCGCACCAAAAATATCAAAATCCCCTCGTAAGATGAGACATCTGCCCGTGTCTTCCTGGTGGTACTTAGTGCCCAATAACCCGTAGCAGAGCTGATATTATAAATTTAACAATACCCGGAAATTAAATCTTCAAATCTCGGCCACAACACGAAAATCTGAGGAACATCAATAATCAAAGAGCCTGCTTTATAATACACCACGTTTGTAGTTTTGGCTGGATTTTAGATGCGATTTTCTTCTTTTGGTAAATCCGAACGTGTGGACAGGCTACGGATGTTAAAATGTGGGCGCATTTACGTCAGAGCATAACTGTTACGTCAGAGCATAACTGATCGCTCGTTTGCATCTGCCAAAGGATAAAAAATCGCACGAAAAATCGAGTGCATGCTAAAGCTGGCGGGTAACTTTGTTATTCCATGCGAAATAAATGAAAACTGTCTAAAACTGCTGTGAATTGAATTATTGAGATGACTAAATTAATTTAAGTAGGATTCGGCAGGAAAAAGGGGAAATCTTTGTGGGGGTATTTGAAATCGCATTCATGAAGCGCTGAGTCACAAACACGTCAGTAATTTCCGGGCGTTTTATATTGGAAGCACTTGCGTCTTGCGACGAATTCCAGCGGGCTCAATGACTCAAATGTGGCAGCGGTTTACAGAGCTGAAGATTAGGGTCTTAATGCGGCTCCAGACAATGGGTTTCTTGACTCTTGTCACTCTCCTTAGTTTCAATTCTTATAATACAACAACTGGAGAAAATTCTATATTTCAGAGGAATATTTTGAAAATGAAAATATTTAACCAGCAGAGTTTTGGTCGGCAGGATTGAAAGACCGTAGAAGATAAAAATATAGAAATTTATCGCGATGTCCAAATCCAGTACTAGCTAGAAGCTTGTTTGGGCGGTGGGGGTAATCGTATTTTCGTCTCATGCCCGACTGATTAATCAGTGAAAGCGATAATTCCAACGGTATGTAAACATGAATATATGACTATATCCCTCCCCGGAACAAGCGGTCTAGCTATGGAAAATTATAATATGATCAGTCTCTGTTTATCAAATTACTATTCTTAAAATTTGTTGTTTCTTTGATTTTCCATAATTAATCTATGTATTATCCACCGGTCCCCCAGGAAAAGTATCACTAAAATCGTGAAAACCATCAGACATAACTCAGGCAGGAAGTTGCAACCAAAATAAACATTAGGCCAAATATCATCCTCAGCATTGAACAGAAATTAACTTCCGTAGTTTCAAAAACCAACCCTTAGAGTTCCTCTTATCGGTTTGGACACCAAAATCAGAGCATACTCACTACTGAAATTTCCGATTTAAAGAATGAAAAAAATTCAGGTGAAAATTTAGGCAGATAAATCGAACAACGTTGACAGTTGTTTTTTAACGTCTTCTGGCGTGTACTTGACGTATTTTTCGACGTTCTTTGTGAATTGAATGGCCGTGTACCTAGAAAAGCGAGGCCATTTTGCTGATTTAATACGCTTTTATAAAATTCACTCGCAAACAAAAAGTGTCCGGTATATGGTTCTCTAGGGGTCTATATTCATCATCTCTCGTGTGGAGATATTTTGACTTTGAACACTCCAGTTCAAATGAACTAATTTGCTAATATATACAGAACAGTGGGACCGCGGGTGTCATCTATTCTGGCTTGTCATCAAACCCTGCTGACCAGAATTACAGCGGACGCAGTTCGCTTTGACTAAGTAAAAGGTCAAATTGTAAGTTGCTCTAGCACCTTATGGCGCAACCTGACCCATCCGGGAGCACTGCAGTCACAATGGAAGTGTCATTTAGGTCCATACTTACTTTTCTTGAAAGGAACGATAATTATTTACAATCAAATCGATATTTTCCTGGCGTAGTTCATCCCTCAGATTTTCGTCAGGTACGGCATAAGTTTTTTGTGTTTGACATATCTCTTCAAACTCGCTGTTAAAACCCTGAACGTTCGAATACATGAGTGGCTGGGTGGGTGAGTTGATGAACAAACAAACAAACGATTGAGTGATATCTGGCATTTATCTGCCTATCTAAAAATCTCATCAACAGGGACATTTCCCATTGATCTTAGCTGTGACTAAGGGACATTTCCCATTGATCTTAGCTGTGACTAAGGGACATTTCCCATTGATCTTAGCTGTGACTAAGGGACAATTCCCATTGATCTTAGCTGTGACTAAGGGACATTTCCTATTGATCTTAGCTGAGAATCCTTCAGGGTCTGGTTGAGAAGAAAATTTCAACTTACTTTGAACTTATCTTTGATAAGTTGCTTTTGTTTTTGACCAACCTATATTGATAATAAACACAATTAACATTATAATGTTGAAAACTTTATTTTCATCTTTTTCAAGCCCGCATTATATTCCCACTTTCTGGGCATGCGCAAAGAGGAATGTAGATTACTTATACTTAACCAGAAAAATAAAAAAGCACAGTCGCGTCCGTTTCAACAAATTGACTCACCTTTGCGTCTTTGCTTTGAGTATATGGCTTGTCCATTTCGAGAAGGCAGTTCATGACTTTCGACCAACTAAAAGGATACAAGTTTGAACGGTTATAAAGGCTAGTTTCCACTCAGGAAAAATCTCCTTGGGATCGGAACGGACAAGAAAATTTCCTTTGTCGGTGAGTTCCCAGGCGGCGTTTATACAAAGGAAACTTTCCTGTCCTGTCCGATCCAAAAGAGAATTTTCCTGAGTGGATCGAAACTAGCCTTAAAACGCCCACCAAAGTATTCACACAAGAAGTGATAGTTTTCAATACATAAACGATCTTTAAATACCCCTTCTGGTACGTAATTTTCTGCTCTTTAATGAGAGTGATGTATTGTGTCTCAATCTTAGTAAAGCCTCCTTCGGTCATCAACAAAAGCACGCCAGTTCTACAAAAAGTATATAAGGTCAGTTACCAGCATATGTTAAGGTCGATGGCTAACACCCCAGAAACATATAAAGGTCAGTGGTAAAAAGGGTGAATGTATAATGAATGATAAATTCTAAGGAAACGGTAGGATAACGAGGGATACCTTTGTAATCCTTTCAGAATGTAGTTGTAGTTATTGAGTAAGAATATTCCCGATAAAGCGACTTGTCCAACGATATGAACGTAACTTTTGGATTTGAGTTCAAGATTTAATCCAAGAGCAGCGAGTACTCGAACTGCATGGGGATAACGAAAATACATCAGTCGTTATCGATGATGATGATGATGATGATGATGATGATGATGATGGGTATAGCAATCATGATAATTACAGGATTATTTTACAGTGATTGGCAATCATAGTTGTTGATTAGGAGTGTGGCAATGATGGCTGATTATATGTGACGATAGTTGATTATGAAGATGAAAGTTGATCATTGGGATTATCCGATTATGGCTGATCAAAGTGATGATGACCGATCATTTGATCATGTTATTATGTATAGCGATAGTACTTGCAATTATGTCATCGATAATAATGATGAAAATGGGGGTAATGATAAGGATATATATTTTCTGTGAGGAGGATGCTGAATTTTGTTTCAAAAATATTCTTAAAGATATGGCAACTAACAGATATATTTCGCCACAGTTCTTTTTGGCGACTCAACATCGTTGGTCGTCGGATCGATCACTTGTTCTAAAAAAGCAATGATACTCAGACTAGAGTAAATTAACAAATATCAACTTAGTTAACTTTCATTAATTTAACCACATCATGATTGACCCTCGATGACCGTTGAAGGTGACCACGATAAGAAGTCATATAGGCGACACAAAACACCACATACCTTTTGAATTGAGCATGTTCCCGACGGTATCAGTATAGCCCAGTAAATGCTCCAAAAATATCAGCGTCTACAACAACGATTGAAAAAGTATGAGACATACGAGTGTATCAAAAATTCTAGCTATTATTACTGATCAATGTTAAAGTCCTTTCTTAATCTACGAAAGGATGGAAGGTAAAACATTGAAAACTGAAGCTCTTATTTCTGAAAATACGGCTAAGGGATCGATATGAGAAGAACGAGATCTCTCGAGTTTGAATGTGAGTGAGCTTTTAGAATACAGGCGATAGTCTTTAATGCATTTACATTATATGAAATATTTTTGGTCTGGACAAAGCGTTCTAAATCAAAGTTGACCCCGTGGCGAAATGTTTCATAATTATATGACATACATTACTGGTGAGTTCGTGGACTGTACCATCTTTGGGCATATTTGATTGCTTGTCCGGGTCGTGCTGTACAAACAAAGAGACAAGAAAACGTGAGTATTCATCAAGCATTTACGACGTTATCGCCTGGAAAACCCCACCTTGATATTCTCAGTGAAATCTTCCAGTGCTTTAGCGCCCTACAAAAAAGAAACATGATTACTCACAAATCGAAAACAGAGTTGAAGACAGCAATGAGGTACATATTTGCAACTGGGAATCTTTGTTGGGATGGTGCTTAAGAAGATATGTATCGCTGTCTTATCAAGCGGGGTGAACAAATACATTAATCTACATACCACAACTTCCAAGTTCATAAATAGATTTGTGACTGTGGCTTGGGTTGCCTGACGAACATCCTTAACAATGAAATGAATGAATGGGAATGAACGAGAGGATGTATGACTGAATGCAGGCTTGAGAAAATTAATCAGTATAACAAGGGGGAATTTCGCTTTAGACCAATCAGCAAGTTTGTTTACATTTTCAGTAAACCAATCAAAAGCATAAATTTTGACCACTTCCAGTAAAAAGGTACATCATTTACCAATGTAAACATGTAAACAAATATGCCGATTAGGTAAAAACGAAATTTCTCCTTGTTAGTCAGTATAATTCATTGGCTAACTTCGAGATCTTGAAAACATTGATACTTTAATGAAAATGGAACGGCGAAGAAAGATTACCTGGAGAACGCTTGAAAACTTGATGAGAACTGACCCAAGGTACTTCAAAACAGGCAACAACGGGAGCAACGAGAAATATTCTCTTTTTGCAATGAGTCGACGAGCAGAGTTTGCCATACACTGAAGAGCAGATATTGCAGAATGTGGTTGGATTCAGTGTATAAAATAAATAATAGCAATGTGGCTACGAGCAAAACATACCTCGCCATCAAAGGCAAGAACTTCCATGGAACTTTGAATCAACACATCAAATATATCAGCCCGGTGGCTTTGAGGAATGATCACATTGATGAGACTCTGTTCACTCTAAAACACGATCAGACAAAAAGATGTTTAAAGCATAGCACAGAATACGTGGTTCATTTCTTTAAAACAAACAAACAACAAACAACAAGCATTGAATTACAAAGAGACTCACATACTTTCAGAGGGACAAATTTCTATATATTAAACATTTCGACAATGCTGTCCCAACTAATTCCAATTTGCAAGGATTTATGTTTACGGCATTTCTCTATATCTTTCTTATTCTGGTGATTTATAAAAGTAACATGCTCACAAGTAGACGACGATTACCTGTAACAATTTTAGAAGGGCTCCACAAAGCGTGACGAAGCGACCAGCCTCAATTTCACTAGAATTTTTAGAGTTAAAAACAAGTTTTCAAGTTTTCCGTATCTTAATAATATTTTTGTAGGTTTGCATGGTGACAGTCGATAAGTAATTTAGCTTGTAGGTACACCACGTAAGTATTCAATACTGCAAAGCTTTCGGTCCGTTCACCCGAGACTTCACCAATGCAATACACAGAATTGCACTGATGATGACCCGGGTTAACATGCAGATCGAAAGCTTTGCAGTATTAAATACTTATTTGGTGTACCCGCAAGCTAAATTATTTTCCGTATCTTGCTACCCCATGCACTGATCCGAATATTATAACTGCATGGACACAGAGTCTGTTGTTCACATGAAGTCAGATTTATAGGTCTGTTCAAATCTCACAAGTTCACTCCAAAGTACAACGAGACATGTCGTTTCAAAACTAAAATACATTCAAAAGAAAGTAAAATTTATCATACTCCTCATCTTCCTTTAGACCGGGAGAATCAAACGTTGACGCGGGAGCTCCAATTTTTCGACTTCCTCCTAAAACACACAATTTATGAAAATAAGCAAAAAATATAAAAACGTCAGTGTTTGGGTTCAGCAGGAGATCTGTTCTCATACAACTGGAGCAATAAGTGGTGATAAATATTCCACAAATAGCCTGAATCGATTCAACCTTGGTAATAAATCCATACGTTTCTCAATTGGAAAGCATATAGAGTTATCTATCTGGGGCTAGTTGTTCGAAAGGCGTTTAGCTTAAACGGTGGATAAGCCAAAGTTTAAAAATACTCTCATACATCTTGTGAATGACTGAACCTGCATCTTATGCATTAAATATGTACTTTCGTTGAAAATTAAGCTATTTACATCGAAATATTTTAGCTTATTTGTCCAACAAAGAGATAATTTTGTTTTCCATTTTGAACTTATCCGCCGTTTAGGCTAAACGCCTTTCGAACAACCGGCCCCAGAGAAATAAGCTAGGGTACAATGGAGAGATCTTGGAAAAGTACCATATTCAAAGGTTTTCGATGGCACTCGACGAACGACACTTCTTTTCAACGTAGATTTTCTTTGCGGAGTTGAACCTGGAAAAGAAATCCATTCGATGATCTATCGATGTATCGATCGAACTATATCCCCCGTGCAGCTATTAGTGATTTGGTAAATTCTAAGCAGCAGGCAAGGTTTATCATTAACTACGATTTAAGAACCAACGCAAGGTGTGCTTGAAAGTTATATGTACAACTGGCTCCAGTGTGGTTAAACTTTACCTGTGCTGGACTTGATCTTGGGACTTATCATCTTTAAAAGCAAAGGAATGAAATTACACAGTTATTACGGATTTTAAGTAGTCAAAATCCCTTTTTTAGCTCGCCTGCACTTTAGTGCAAGAGAGCTATTGCTATAGTCTTGGCGTCCGCATCCCCGTCCCGTCCCCGTCCCCGTCCCCGTCACTGTCCCCGTCCGCGTCCACACTACATGATAAGTAGAATGTTAAGATGCCACTTTTATTTTCCCATTATTTTCAACTTATCTACTTAAGGAGTCTATTTGTTGCAAAAGAACCATTTACCAGGGGGGAGTGAACATTATACAACAAAATATAATGATAAGGTCAATGTTAACATGCTATATTTTTTCTATACTTTGGCTTTACATCAGAGGAATCATTATCAATATAAGTCATCAATATGCATTGTGACTATTTAGTGCCATTTGGTACGCATTTATACAATAATAAAGAGAGTTTTGCTCAAAATTATCAAATGATAAGGTGAATGTTAAGCTAATTAGCATAATGATAAGGTCAATGTTAAGATGTTATATTTTTTAAATATTATGGCTTTGCATTGGAAGATTCTTTATAAATATAGCTCATCGATATGTCTTGTGACTATATGGTGACATTTAGTACACATTTACACAAAAATAATGGGAATTTTGTTCAAAATTATCAAATGATAAGGTGAATGTTAAGCTAATTAGCATAATGATAAGGTCAATGTTAAGATGCTATATTTTTTAAATATTATGGCTTTACATCAGAGGAATCATCATAAATATAAGTCATCGATATGCATTGTAACTATTCAGTGCCATTTGGTACACATTTATACAATAATAAAGAGAGCTTTGCTCAAAATTATCAAATGATAAGGCAAATGTTAAGCTTATTAGCATCATGATAAGGTCAATGTTAGAGTTATCCAGAGTTATCACGCTCATTACGATTTTCAGGGCTATTGTGTAGCCCTGTCTTTTTTAGTTCAAAGTTGTAGCTGAATCATATTTAACGAAAGTATTTGTACAACCCTAAGCCAAATGAGAAACTTTCAAATATTTTCACCTGTATGCTACCATATGTTTGTATTGTACATGTACAATTATAAATTATGAGATTGTGTTGTGACATGCCGTATCAAAATTCAATCGCTTAATATAGAAATCATTCAGGGAGTGAATATATATAAAACATAGTGCAACGTTAAAGTTTAAAGAATATTGTCAGATAATTCGCAATTACAAGCTTTAGCACATAAGTATTTATAAGTAGAAAGCCGATAGGCTCGGAATGCAAAGGCAAATGGCAACGCATGTGACATATATTTGCATATTACTTATGTAGATACACATGCAAATATATTATTAAAGCACCTATAAGATTTATGTACATACTTTTTCGTTGTTTGATGCATAATCCTTTTTTGTGTAGGTATAAAAATCCAATCTTGTCTTTTTCATAAAGCTAGGCGCACACACGACGATTTTAGTCGGCCGATTCCTGTCTAGATTGTCTAGATGGATGTTTTCATCAAAATGTGGCGACTGGCGATCTATACTTGGTCAGATTAGACCAAGTAGACTCGCGTACACGCGCGAGGCGCGAGCGCCGCGAGAAGGAAAACATGTCTGGGCAAGGGCTGCCTATATGTCTAAACCTGAATGGACCAACTACCGTAAAATCGTTGTGTGTGCGCCCGGCTTAAAGCAGGGCCTTTTGCCTGGTCCGTTAACTTACCTGTTGATATCACGTGCGCGGATTGTGAGAAACGGAAGAAATATTGGTCACAAATAAAACTAATGTAATTCCGAGGCCGGTTTTGGCCAGTAATTCTGAGGTCACAACTAATATCTGAAGTTTGTGCTTAATATTACCTTCCAAAGCGGATTTTAGCCTTGTAGTTTCTAATAAAAAGATCGGTAATTTGTGCTTCATACAGATACCTTTCATACATTCCTTATTCTAGACAAACAGTGCAGGCGAGCGTTAGGTGGTTTCAGCACCTCTCTGGTTATAAACTACAACAACAGTTTTTTTTGGTCAAGTGCATGCATACCACGTGAGAGTATGTTAACCATCGAGTGCTCTATCACATTTCAAAAATAAGAGAAAAAACCGGCGTTTTATGAAACTTACAATATTCGCTGGTGAGTAACTTTCTATTTTTCCTTGTGAATGTGCTTCGATTAACCTTCAAAGATACATCAGACGTTATCGCAAATATGCGCAAGAACTAAGGTGTTAATCATGTTGAAATAAGACGAATTATACGTTTAGTTATAAAAGCTATAGTTTTGGGGCCGGTTGTATCAAAGCCGGATAGCGCTATCCACCGGATAGCGATTTTTTCAACCGTTCTAAAAATGCTCGAAAAGCGATAAAATTTCAGCTTGGAAGCAACAATTAAATTAAAAAGGACCTTCGATTTAGGAATACTAAGATTTAATCAAAGTTGTAGCATATAACGGGCGATTTTGAAGCGATTGAAAAAACCACTATCCGGTGGATAGCGCTATCCGGCCTTCATACAACCGGCCCCTGACATAAATTTCAAACCAAAATGAAGTTAATTTCAAGAGATATTTAGTTGTTTAAATGAGATTTTCAAACAACAACTAGTCCTAATCTTTTCCCGCGCCATTTCAGATCACCCGGATTCATACATACCCTTGCAATGTTCTGCTAAGCATACTGGATCGTATTTGAGCATACACATTCATGAAATCTTGAAGGAAAGAGGACATTAATTCAAGTCAAAGGATGCAGAGGAATCGGGCTGGAATTTCAGGCCATGCGGGCAACATCGGCATACGATACTAACCATTACTTTTCGTTTCGTTCACCAGCCAAGTGGCAATCTTACTCAAATCCTCGATCACTTCATCTGATTTGATTTAGAAAAAATACAGAATTTAGAACCCAATGACTCGCAATATTTAAGACTCACAAAAGCTTAATGAAAATGCTCGACCAGGAAGCTACGATATATATAAGACTTTGATTTAAAAGATGCCATAGAATATGTGTAAATTCACTAAAAACACAAACCATTTATTTGCTTCAGTTGAGGTTCAGCATCACCTTCTTGTAGGTCTAAAAAAACAAGCCGGTCGATTGCAAAAATATAGGTACCTGGGGCTTTTTTCTCGCAACTTTTAGATCGTGGCTATATAGAGAAGTAACTCTTCTATACCTTCTCCTGCGCTCAATATATCCAACAGAGTTGTCGCCGAAACTGGACTGCTGCTTCGAGTTAATAGATTTCGAAAAGATCTTTCCATTTGTTCTCGTCCGGTCTCCATCAATGATGTCTACAAGGAAACATGAAGGCATGGTGAAATGAGCAGGGTGAATGGTGTTTTGAGTCTTGTGCTGTTGTTGCTTTAGTTTCTAACAGTCTTGCATGTTGTGGCTTTGTATGTTGTGAGTGTTGCATGCTGTAGTTTTTACATGTTGTGTGTGTTGCATATTGTGGCTTTGTATGTTGTGAGTGTTACATGTTGTGGCTTTTTATGATGTGATTGTTACATATTGTTGCTTCGTATGCTGTGAGTGTTACATGTTGTGGCTTTGTATGTTGTGAGTATCACATGTTGTCGTTGTTGCACGTTGTGATTGTTACACGTTGTGGCTTGGTATATTGTGATTGTTACATCTTGTTGTTGTTGTTGTTGCATGTTGTGATTGTTAGAGGTTGTTGTTGTTGTTGCATGTTATAATTGTTACACGTTGTGGCTTGGTATGTTGTGATTGTTACATCTTGTTGTTGTTGTTGTTGCATGTGGTGATTGTTAGCTACATGTTGTGATTGTTACATGTTGTTGTTGTTGCATGTTGTGATTGCTACATGTTGTTGTTGTTGCATGTTGTGATTGTTACATGTTGTTGTTGCATGTTGTGATTGTTACATGTTGTTGTTGCATGTTGTGATTGTTACATGTTGTTGTTGCATGTTGTGATTGTTACATGTTGTTGTTGCATGTTGTGATTGTTACATGTTGTTGTTGTTGCATGTTGTTGTTGTTGCATGTTGTTGTTGTTGCATGTTGTTGTTGTTGCATGTTGTTGTTGTTGAATGTTGTTGTTGTTGAATGTTGTGATTGTTACATGTTGTTGTTGTTGCATGTTGTGATTGTTATATGTTGTTGTTGCATGTTGTGATTGTTACATGTTGTTGTTGCATGTTGTGATTGTTACATGTTGTTGTTGCATGTTGTATTGTTACATCTTGTTGTTGTGTGTGCATGTTTGTTGTGTGCATGTTGTGATTGTTATTTGTTGTTGTATGTTGTTGTTGTTGAATGTTGTGATTGTTACATGTTGTTGTTGCATGTTGTGATTGTTACATGTTGTAGTTGTTGAATGTTGTGATTGTTACATGTTGTTGTTACATGTTGTGATTGTTACATGTTGTAGCTTGGTATGTTGTGATTGTTACATGTTGTAGTTGTTGAATGTTGTGATTGTTGGTTGTTGTCATCAATGTATGTTACGTTGTGAGTGTTTTTGCATTTTTAGAACTTACCAAGAGAGATAACTCGGGGCTATTTGGATTATTTATTTCAAAGAATTCAATGGCATCTTGTACTTTCTCTAAACTTCTCAAATAGCTATCAACGTCTGTCCCGGGTCTATGTGGGTAAAGAATCGTAACAAAACTTGTTTACTAACAGTCTAAACCAATAAGGCTGAAATATGCGAACGAAATGCCTTAAAAAAGGAAAATTTTGCTTTTAAGACAAAAATTGGCAAAGACAAATTTAAAATATGTCATTACTGAACTATTTCAAACTTATCCTAGAATATAATGGATAAAACTTTATATTCTTACCCATCTCTGATATCTTGATCTTCACTTGAGGCAACATTATGATAACTAATAACGTTATCCAATCCACGTAACACTTTGTCGATATCTGATATTAGACAGTTAAGGAAGCTACGAGGTTTATCAGCACGTGAATCAAACGATAAAACGTTGTATGCATGAGGAGTTTGGTTGATGGAATATACGAGAAGAATTCATATGTTTTAAAAACCTAAACCATATAAACAAAAACAGCAGACTAAAATTTAACCCAGGGCTAGCACTATCCCAGCTTCGAACAATCCCCTCCCTTTATCTCTTTGGTAACAAGCCTGACTAAGCCAAAGGTGAGGTTCAGCGTTATAATAATCTTAAAACATTTTTCACAGCTGAACATTTTACAACTGATGTTCTAGCATGACACATGACTGCTACACGTGACCACCACGTGTATGCAAAGCTTCCACCCTGGACAAGGGAAGATAGTTGATGAACAGTTTGCAAGCGAGTGTTCGTATAAGAGTTTCATCCATTGTGAATCCTTTATTTACCGGCAAAAATAAAAACCCGATTTCCGTCCTCCCTACCCCAAGGACATTAAACTATGCTTCGTTTATTCACAAGCAAATATGACGCATGGTTACGATCATGATTACATTTGAAAAAGACAAACAAAGAGACTTGCCTTTTTGTTAAGAGCAACCGTTTTTTAAAAAACCTGCTCATGCAGGCACCAATACAATTGCGACGAAATTTATATTTATTAACTTACAAGTCCATAGGATATAGGTCAAAATTACATTATAAAACGAAGTCAAGATTATTATTAATTCAGAACTGACGCTAATCTAGATTAGCGTTTCATTAGCGAATTACAATTCCGCTGGAAACTTTTGTTTCAGATACAAATTTTAGACTTTTGTGATACATAAATATAGATATAAGTAAATTTAATAGCTCATCAATTGAACTGATGAAGGTCCGGGTTAGCGGACCGAAAACTATGCTTACTTATAATTATTGTGATATGCAAAGTTACAAGAATATTATAATGTATTATAAAATAATGTATTAATTGAAACTTACTACATGCATATATCAGTAAGGAACACATTGAATGTAAAAAGTTAAAAACTCCATCGGGCATCAACATTAGAATAAAATTCCCCGAACAGAAAAAAAACCCTATGCAATGAGCTGTACTAAATAAACAGTCAATTCCCAGGGAATAACAGCCAAACACAGAGAGTTGAGGGTATTTATTATGAATTTTACTATTCTATATTTATTAATTTTATTACTAATTTTAGTTATAATTTTATTACTAATTTTAGTTATAATTTTATAACTAATTTTAGTTATAATTTTATAACTAATTTTAGTTATAATTTTATTACTAATTTTAGTTATAATTTTATTACTAATTTTAGTTATAATTTTATAACTAATTTTAGTTATAATTTTATAACTAATTTTAGTTATAATTTTATTACTAATTTTAGTTATAATTTTATTACTAATTTTAGTTATAATTTTATTACTAATTTTAGTTATTTTATTACTAATTTTAGTTATAATTTTTTTACTAATTTTAGTTATAATTTTATTACTAATTTTACTAATTTTAGTCGTAACTAGAGTTTTATTACCATGCATTAATTGTCGCTTAACTTGGATGGAATTTAAACATCCCCACCTGATTTTATTAATTACAAAATTTATTCCAGGACGGGGCAACCCAGCATGATTTGAGCAGCTATGCTTATAAAATATTCATTTATGGTGACACTGGATCGCAGTGCATTTTATAAATTTGCCTTGACGAAAAGATCTCCCTACAATTGAAGGAAAGATATTCCTATCAAACTAACCAAAGCAACCGCACCATGTGGATTAGAAAAAACATGAGAAAGGCGGACACCCCTCAGATGTATATCGTCTTTTAGTTCTCCAGTTTCTGAAAAACTACAAATACATCTTCCCAAGCCAGTATTAACCAGGATCCGTTTTGTGATATGATTTATTGCAACAGAATGAATATATCCATATTTTTTAGGTATCCTAACTTTGCGTTCCAACTCGCCGTTCTCCTTGTAGATATAAAAACAATCTTCATTATAACCAGCGCCAATTATTTTTGTTCCATTATTATCTAGAAACCGTATCATATGCACTCTGCCAGATAATTCTTTGAGATAAAAACTATTATCGAGTGCAAATGAATCCGTCTTACATGAAGTTCCGACATGTAGAATTTGTTTCTCGCGATCAAAAACGGCGATCATTTTGTCATTGTTTACTGCCATGCACACTAATGGGCATGAGCGGTGTTGAAAAGGTAATAGAGACTCAAATTTTTTGTCTCCATGCTCATCAAAAATTAACAATTTAAAACTCCTTTCTCGGAATGTCGTGATGACGTAAAGGTTATCTTCGGCATCGATATCCATCGCAACAACCTCGCAACCTGCCAAATCTTCTTGTTTGAAAGGATCAAATATTGTACGGGATTCTCCTGAGGGTTTCAATATTTGAACAGAATCATTACTCGCTATTTTCGCAACAATTTCTCTTTTGCTATTTACAACACAGCGAGATTGATAAATACTTTCGGAAAATGTGTAACCCAGGTACGGCGACGTAATTTCCACACCAGACTCTTCGTATTTTTCAATAAGGCGATCACTCCCGACTAATGGATGATGAGTTTTCTTTCCAAGCAAAATCTCGGGCCAAATAAAAAACACTGTTTGCAAGTTCGAAAACCTTTTGGCAAACTCAAACAAAAGCAGATTCATTTGGTGAACAGACGAAGCATTGTTGAGTCGCTTCGTTTTATTAAACCGAGATTTAAATCCGCCGTCAATCACATTAGAAAATATTTCTTGAATAGCTTTGATATTATGAAGCTCCTTCAGGTATAGCAGGCAATCGCTTACCCCCGCGTCAGGATCTTCTGATTTTTCTAAAATACTGGCCATCATTCGAACCTGCGTCGCTTGAATTCGGTCCTCGATGGACAAAGCTTCGTTGCTGAATGCTTCGGTGGCTTTTTGACGAGCGACTTTGAACGACTCTATGGCAGAGAGATAGCGTTCCTTGGAATGTATTTTCAATGAATTGAAGGTGTTTATCAAAGACGTGACTTCGTTGATTTGAGAAACAAGACCAGTTTCTTCAGAAGACGTAGCGCCAGCTGAGGTTGCTTGTTCGGTCGATTCTGATCCATTCTCGGATTCCTTAAACTGCTGTAGCGACTGATAAAGACGATTGATTCCTTCTTGAAGAAAACAAAAACTGCTCAGTAAATCCTTTCTCGCCAATCCATCCAACTTCGTCTTAATATCATCGAGTTCTCTCACGATCAAGCGTCGACATTCTTCGTCCGTGACGTCGCCATCGTTTAAACGTTCTGAAATTTTACTGCGAGCCTTGTTCACTAAAAATCCAAACGTCAGCTTCAAAACTCCGCTTACGATCTCAGTCATTTTGAAATAAATGAAGCGTTCTCCAAAACAAAGACATTATATTACCTTTGTTTAGTTTATGACTTTATGTCTCTGCAGCAGCTGCACCAGCAGCTGGTGTACATGTCAGAGAGACAAACAAAGTAAAGATGAAAATACCCCGCAACACAGAAGTTTTAACAACAACAATCAGTCACAAGATTAAAACACCCATTCATCGCGTTGCAAGACGACTATTTCGATTTAAATTCAAACTCTAAATTTAATTTTATTTTCCAACGATGAGCTGCTTTTATGCTGATGACTAATTAAAAATTAATCTCAAGTGTATGACTGTATAGACGATAATGATAAAGGCCTTGTAGGCTTGTAAGTCCTTCGCGTTTTTTTTTGCATGTTTGGTATGCAATATCACGTTTACACATATCCATAATCATGATTGATAAAAAGTTTGAATATATCTTACGTTTACTCGAAATGTAAATCCCCATATTGAGCTATAATATCTTTATAGTTCAATACGGTCTTGTATGGAAAAGAGATTGATATAGGTTTAATAAAAAGTTTATCTTTATAGAGACTTTATCTTTATGTTTATATTGACCGACATTCTTGAGATTCACACTTAGGATATCTTTATAAACCCAGACACGCACAACAGATCAATTATAAATCGTAAACAAAAAATCGCAAGAATTACTTCTCGGCAACATCGAGGGAAAGAACTCTTGGATAAAATTGCCCTAGTCTCCCCACACTTCTCCCCGCCTTGAAACGTCAAACGTGTGCAGGTCATTTCATTTATAAATATTGTAAACACAATTCTGTAAAATATTTCTTTGTGCTGAACAGGACGGCGCCCACGCAAATAAATACTAAAATATTGTCTGGAATACAAAGTATTTTCAATTTCCGCCTACGCCAATACAGAAGTGAAATAAATTTCCAACTTTGATTGAAGCAGCTCTCAGGAGATTGTTAAGTTATGACCTGGGTATAGGAAGGAAAAATAAGCCCCATTAAATACGTTTCATTTATTCACAAGCATTATATACGATCGTCATTACACTTGAATGAGGCACATAAAGAACTTTTGTCTTCCTGTTTTTAAAACATACGTTTCTGAAATTATACAGGAAACCTTCAGCAGGTTTGTTTTCAACGGTGTTTCACTCACGACCAATGTTTAGGATTTTAATTGCACTGGTTGTAACAGTTGGGACATCAGCTGTTTGCAGAAATGATAAAATGCACTGGTTTATAATTATTACATTCAAAGCAAGTATTTTGCCAAGATCAGCTGTAATCAGGTCAGTGATAATCACTGCTGACACAGCGTGTAATAACGTTCCTAGTATTTGTTAGAAAGCAAAAGCAAGTAAGGATTAGTTTTAACATGGAAAGAAATAAGAGTATATACTCGGTGAACTCCCACCTTTGAAACAAATATACAGGAGAGAACTCTTCATTTAAAATTACCCATTTCTTCCCACACTTTAAAACGTTGGCAAGTCAATTTTTTGATAAAATTATTCTGATAAAATTTGCCAGACAGGAAGCCTTTGCGTTGAAGGGAACTACTCCAACACAAGTTGGTTATTATTAAACATAATTACTAAAATAGGGTCGAGAATACAAAGGA